TCCAATTAATTTCAAAGTTACAATGAGTGTGACGAGAGAATGTTGTTATTTCAAGTTCTGGAGAGATACTCGTCATTTTCACAATTGTTCACCAATATCAACCAAAATGATAGACGTTACTTGTACAAATGAACATCCACCTCTTGACCAATGACAAAAGGATCCCTTAGCGGTTAATTTAATTGCAGAGCAGGAAAGGAGAGGAGAAAACTTCAAAAACTTCAAATTTGAGGACATAAATATGGACAAACTCTCAATTAACTCGAGGCTGACTGGAGCCGGTTCTAATTTCCTATTCGGACTTAAGTCTCAGAACCGTACAAAATCTCATATTTTCAAATCATGCAAATATTCATTATCATTAAGAGGTCATAAAAATCATAATCCTTATAATTTAGTCAATATTCATAAAAATTATAATTATATGAATTTCTCGACGACACAATATGTACAGTAAAATAGCCACAGGTTGATGTACATAAATAATTTATTAACTGTTTATGCGATGCAATTGGCCAATTCTGTGTACACACATAAACATTACAATTTTATAAATTCATGATTTTACATTTAACAGTGTGCATATATACGTACCTAAATGCTAAGGCCACACCTCCTTCACCTCCTGCTTCTCAATTACCCTCCTCATTATGTTGGTCATGAGTAAAATCTTTGTTGAAATCAAGTTAAATTAAGAGCTTGTAATGCTGCAAAAACCTTGTATTAACGTATCCGCCGTGAAATCTAGCGGAATTACTATATCAATTTGTTTAAGCTGAACTTAAAAATTTGGTGCACATCGTTTAACCTCCTTCTTATCATAATACTTAAAATCTCATAGCCCAAACAAAGGAGGCAACCGCCTAAACAAATTCCACAAACATAGAATCCTGTGACGATTTTAGAATTGTTATCTAATTGTGATACGGCATTATATCTTGGACGTGTCCAATTTGCATAGTGATGAAATAATTTTGGGGATTTAAGTAAGCGAAACCAAGTCTCCCAATGTCCATAAATTCCTGATGATAGCATAATATGCAGCCGTTTCTCGACATAATTCTCACGAACTGGATAAATTTTCCAGCCACGTGCTACTTTGAAAAAGGGTTCAATGCCACTCAAGTATTTAATTTTGTCCTGATTATCATTTAAAAATGGGAGCAAGGACGCAATGTTTTCTGTCGTATCGAGAAATTCTATTTTTCCACAGGTCGATAACTTTTCCACCAATCGAACCGTTTCACTGTATTGGATGGGTTTGAGTGGCGAATATCGAAGTAGATGGGTCTTGAGTATTCTTTCCCATCGGGTCATAAATTCTTCCTTCACAAAGCTTTCTTCATTAATCGGTTTTCGTCTGTCGCTAGGGTCGACCTTTATGTTGCTCAGCTGTTCTGCTATTGCTCTGTACCTTAATTGTAAAAGAACTGCAATAATATGTCACGAATTTGATCCTCTATGAAAATTGTGGGTGACTGGTTTACGCAAACTAAAGTATTTAAATGTTGCAAATTAAATCCTGAATATTGCAAACTTACCTAGTTGACGTCGTGAATTTTTCGTGCATCCGCAAATGAAATAAAGAATATGCACCAAAGCTTTCCGAGTCCAAAACCTGGAACATATTCAAGGGCAAAAGTGCTTCCATGTCTGGAATATCCAGCCATGTTTCCAATGGCGATGCATACATCACGGGAACTATCATTTCCAATGTGAATGAGGTTTTATACCAGTTCGTTAGCACCGTTCCGCTCATCAGAATCCACACCCATAGTAAAAGGCGCACCCCGAATACATTCGATTTAGCAGGAAATCTCTCCTGAAATAGTTTTACATTTCCCAACCCTGAATTTTCTAATAGTATGCAAATCACAACATATGCGCCATCTGTCCGAAGTGTTCGAGGCAGCAGTGTCAAAATTAGTACCATAATTAATAGCATAAAAAAATTAAAAAGCCAGGTAATAGTGTGGAATGGATTGGTCAATCCACTTAGAATAAACAAATCTGATTTGACCTTATAACAAGATACGAAACTAAAACTTTCCACACTTCCCGTAACATAGGTATACTCCATGTCAGGATTATCCTGAGGTGCGGGGGTCCTATGACGAGGCGTAATATTTAGATTGGAATATTTGGATGCATCTTGAAATGACCAAAATGATGCCAATTCCGATAGCTTGGTGAGTTTTACAATTTCATGAAGTTCTCTTTCCTCACAACCTCTGTCATACCACTTTCTAACCTTAGATTCAACATCCTTGCGACCGCGATATAACGTTATTTCTACAAAATATTTACTCAGCTCGTTAATATCTTTTCCCACTATTTGAGCACTTCTGAAACACTGGGCCCCGTCATGGGATAAGCATTCTATTGTGTACCACCTCTGTGAGGGTTTACCTGCCACTACTAATCCAGAGTGATGATAAGTATTGAAATATTTCAGGTGTAATGCATTGACAACTCGTCCTGGTACTTGGCCTATCTCAATAATTAATATCTCGAACAGCCGGAAATCTACTAGCTTGTTTCGCCATCCTGGAAAACCTTGTTCAATTGTAAGTCTCATGTTAGTTCCGAAAATCAAAAATCTTTGTCCAAAGTACGGCCGTATAAGGGAGTATTTGGTTCGAGAAAAAGGACCCCGCCTCTCACGTCTTCCTGCAAGCAGATCAAATAATGCCCAGCAATGTCGAGCAGGATTTACCCTTCTCTGCAAAAATAACCTAGTTTCAATTGTTTCAAATTGTCCGGCAGGCCTGCTTCGTAGAAGAATCGGAACACGATCAAATTTAGGTTTTGTTCTTTATGAATCAAAATAATATTGGTACAGATTTCAATTATTTCGACATAATGTTTAAAATGAATCGGGTCAAATTCAGGGGGGATAGGTTTACCAGTCGGATGACTTTTCACAGTAACTAGTAATTCGGTTATCAAATTGTGAATCATAACAAAATATAACAGGGAGACTTTGGAGAGAAAAAGGAAACCCATTCTAATATTCTACCCCAACTTTGGGAATATGTTAGACGAAGTGAGGTGAAAAATGGATATGTTAAGACTGCGTCTGTCATAAATTTAGATTCTTGCACAAGTTTTATGTCTAACCTTTAACTATATCTGATTGCTAATGTATTGGTCATGCAACGAACTAGTTTGTTTCTTCGTCTTAAAGTTTAACCAATCCATGGAGCTGAATTGTGTATCTTAATTTTGACACTATGAGGAATTTAGCTTCGGCATTCTGGATTATTGGAAGGGTTGGGCAAAATACTATTTGAAATATAAACTGCACACCATGGTATTTTGAAACTATGTTTCACATGAAAGTTAAAAGTACTTCGAAACCCATGTATCTTGTCCAACCCTGGTAATCAGTATAATTGTATATGTCGCAAAATCGGCTCGCTAAACTTCTTAATTCGTGGTTTCCTTTCGTGCGGAAATTATGCCGACATACATAAATGCACAAAATGACAGGACATGCATATTTACATACGTATTTGAAAATTAAACACAATGTACTTTTGGTGGAAGGAGATAACTGCGTGGGTTGTAAAATTGTGAAGGAGTGTGGGTTATAAGAGGGTAAATTAGTCGATTATAAGCACTCATTAGTTATATCGATCGCAGTAACGCAAACAGCATACAGGTAGGAAACGGGTCGGACATAACTTACGTAACGCGACAAGGGGGAGGGATTCGTCACAGACTACATTGATATCGTGCCTAGGTTACACATATTAAAGGAGGGATGGATGGCCTTCAAAATAGCAATTTTTATGTGACCTAATTAATGGACGACCCCAAGGGTAAGGAAACACTAGTTTCCACAAGACAGCTGGGCCTCAGTAAAGTAAACACATTTTTATAAAAAGGAAATTCTTTTATTAACGATTACATAGTTAAGAAAGCTCTTACCAAATATACATACGTATGTACATGATTAAGTAGTTAATTTTAAAAGCTTTAGAAAAATTCTATTTTATATTCTTCTAATTTTTTTTGTCGTTTATAATTGTAAATTATATTTTTTATTTGATAGTTAACGTATTTTTGAATTAGCTTAAAATGGAACCGTTGCATGTACACGTACAACAAATAATATATGTACATAGTCCGACCATAAGTTCCCGTGAATGCATTTCCGGTGATAAAGCCCAAAGTATTAGAGCTATCTGGTAGAAACTTTTGTGGATGAACAAGGTATTAATCTTGTTTAGAAATCATAACTTCGTTTTCACAATTTCCTTCACGGGCTTGTACACAAGACATAAGTCGTGGCGAAAACTGCTCGATCGCGGCACGCACGGATTTCCTGGGAAAAGCGCCAGATCTTCAGTAAGTGCGACCTCAGCCCTTCCACACTTGGGTGAAATTTAGAGCATACTTGTACCTATAATTTTGACCACCAGTCATAATTTAGGGGATTAAGGTCTGCAGATACTGAGCACCGTTCTACGGATGAAAAAAAGTCATGAAAATTCGTCTGAAGCCAGTTTTGGACAATTTTGCACCTTGCGCAGGAACAGAGTCTTGTTGAAAGGTCCAATGTTGATTTTCGGAGGGTCCAGGGTTCAGGTTATTAACGTTTGGCTTTAGGACACTCTGAAAATAATTCTTGGCTTCAACTTGTACCCTTTGCGGTAAAAAACAGAGATTTCATTTCTCCAGCCAACTTGCTCCCATTCACACCACGGTGATGACTTCGTATTGACTTCCGCATACTTAAACGGATGTCAGACTTCTGTACAACAAATATCTGGCCTTTTTTTCTATTACATTTTTTGCCAACGGTGAAAAGTCTGAAATACTTTTGGCACGAAAATTGGCGCGTACCACGATCGACCTGTGGCCGTCACCAGTTATGTCTTGTCTAATTGCCCGTGGACGAAATCTTGACAAAGAAGTTATGATTTCTAACCAATATTAATACCTTGTTAATCCATAAAAATTTCGAACAGATAGCTCTAATACTTTGGGATTTATTACCGGAAATGCATTCACGAGAACTTATGACCCCACTATGTAGGTATACAGTATGTATAATGTACGATAGTTCGCCTTACTAATCTAGTTAGATATGCATGAATGACACATTAGTAAAATACAACCGAAATGTGTTATAAAATGGAGTACTTTTGAATCAAGTACTTTCTAACAATTTGCCTAGTGGCGAAAATCTATCTCCTAGAAATGTAATCGAATCAATTAAACCACCCTGCGCATCCCTGCACTCTCAAATATCCCCCCGGGCGCCTCCCCCAACTTCTTTGCCCTTGCAATTCTCAAGTCTTCCTTCCCTTTCTCAACCACGTGGTAGTCCACGTGTGGAAAAATGGTGGCAATTCTCCCATAAAAATCCGGCACCTCCTCCCTCCAACCCCAGTGACCATAACCCGGCCACTTCATTACCATATTTCCCACATCCCTTCCCCCCTGGGGAAACCAATATCCAAACTCTTCACCGTCTCACTTGGCGTGATCCCCTCCTTCAAAAAATTTTCATATAGGAAAAGCATGGTCGCCTCAAAATGCAAATTCTCATCGGGACAAGGGATCTCATTCTTCCATGTGGATGGTACCACGTGCACCCTTAACCTCTCCAGGACAGGGAAATGTTCTCCATACACTGGCGCAATCGCGTCCCTCCCACTTTTAAAATTTAAGTAGATATGCGGTCGGAAAAAATTCCTTTCATAGTCACGATCGATACTTTCTTCTCTTAAAATTTCGAAAACTTTCAACCTCGGGAGAACCGGAATCGGGACGTAAGTCACGGCATAATTTCTGTTATTCGGGCTGGTATTATGGACCCCGGAAATGCACACGTGTTCCAGCTGTGGCGCGAGGAGTTGCAAAAGATCCACGCTGTTGGACTTATCGTGGAACAGAATGTTAAACTCGAGTCGCCTCACGTTCGCAAAACTTGGCGCGAAGGGTGCTTCAAAATCAAAAAATTGCGTGACCGGGTTATATTCTCCGTAGATGGGAAACGTTCTTATTAAGCAGATTGACTTGAGATGGGGTAAAATGAGATCTTTTTCATGATTCAGCCCACCACGTGTGTCAATTAATTTGAGAGATTCCACGTGTCTAAACACGCTTACAAGTCGGGTGGTTAGCGAGACCATGTGATCCCATCGGTCAGTTTCCCTATCGGGAAGGAGTCGGGATACGTCAAGGGATAAATTTGTCAGGTTTTGGGTCACGTGACTGTCAGGAAATAGGTCTGCCCAATTTTGCCCGGAAGAAAATGATTCTATAGGATTGGTCAAGTAGAATTGAAATTCGAGGGATTTCAAGTTTTTAAAGGATTCATGAATCTTGGTGAAACGAGACGCCACGTGTCGTAGTGAGTTATCGACGGGAATAAATAGACTGAATTTTGTCACGGAGGTGAAATTGAGGACGGTGAATGAGTCAATTTTTGAAAATAAAACCTCCAATTGGTCCTCCTTGGGTGGGGGGATATATAAGCTGAGTTGAACGGGGGACAAGTTCCTAAGGGGGACAAGGTCATCTGTGGAATCGGTGCCAGTGTGGAGGCGAACGTCGACCGAGTTTCGTCTTAGGAGATGTCTCAGAGCTTCCCGTTCCCACGTGGAGTTGATAAGAGAGGTCGTTTCTATATCTTGAGTGGGCAAGAAGTCCATAATTTTGAAAATTATCTGAAAGAGGTCGAAGTTTGAATTTATATTTAAATTACACTTTTAAGTAGATGCGAAAGTTCTTAAATCAATTATTTTCTAAACAAAATTTTACGAAATTTGGTAACGATGCTAACTCGAAAGGGCTTCTCACATTCAAATGTATTTAGTACTTTTTTCTCAAATTTTTCAAAATCATTAAGGAATCAATTACCTCCGGTAAGCTCGAAAGCAAGTTATGCGCTCGGGTGGAAGTTGCCATTTTCATGTGCTCTTTTATGTTAACGTTCCACAGTAAAGTCCTCCAACCAACCTAATTTTTCAAGACGGACGGACAGAAATAAATATAAATTTAGATTATGAATTCGTTTTTGACTATAAAGGTATTCACTACGAGTTTGCATGTTCGCATTGTAACACAATTTTGCAAATAAAAATATTTCACAAATATATCTGAATACGAGGCTTAAATTCGTAATTCGTAAAGAATTTTCAAGACAATTTTTTGATAACTTGCGAGCCCTGTTTTATATAGCAAACTTGCCGTGAATATGGTTAATACTAGGAATGGGTAATCCGATCCGACGGATTGATCCGAGTATTTACTAAAGCATTGAACAATCCGATCCGATCCGATCCGACCATTTAAACTCGGATCGGATTACCCATTCCTGGTTAATACATAATTTAACTTGCCAGATGACTACAAATATTCAGATATTTACTTGTTTTATTCTTTCCGGAAAGACCGAGTCCAAAATATTTAGTGGTAGAAGCAATGCGACTGAACAGTAGTCCAACTTTCTAATCTGAAAGTTCTCCACCTAATCTGGGGGGTGTATGCAGACGTGGTGTGATTTATTTCTGTTAGAAGGCTAAAAACGTATAGAACACATTTGTACATATGTAAATGAGATTATGGATATTAAAGTAAAGGATCATATATGTACAAAAGTGGGAGAAGAAGAGCTGCATCCTTTATGAGCGGCTCCTATTCATAAAACGACCCTTTTCAGGTAGTCAAAAGTTTCTTCTGTCTTGTAACCTCACTCTCTGTAGAATTGGATCGAAGCCAAAGTTTCTGCAGTTGGAGATTAATTTATTACTGATCGGTAATACATACCCTCTTGGAAATCCGGTATTAAAATAATACCAAGTCATATTTATATATGATCCTATTAAAATGTTTTGACTAGTAATATGCATGAACTTAGCGAACAAAACGGAATAAAGCTCTTTATGTGCGTATTAACGTGAAATTATTTTATTTTCATGAAATAAAATCCACCAAATTTTATTAAATTTCGGCCTCAATCTTAGAATACATTTACAAATCGCCGTTGTTGGCTTTCCACTTGAGGTAGCCCCACGTGGCCGCACCCCCATGAACGATCCACCCCGCCTTCCCAGCAGATCCTCCGCTCGATCCGGTATGGGCGTTCAGCTCGTCACAAATCTCTGTGAAGACATCACCCGCTCTGTGGAAGTCCTCAATGCTGTTGTAGATCTATAAATTGAAATAAATAGAAGAAATTGTCATCAAAGAGGGACCAATCTCCTGCAAAGAATTTGCATAAATATATGTGCTTAATCCAAACCAAATTGCGTTTGAAAGGCGCAAGACACAAGCAGGATTCGAACCTCATACTAGTACGAAATAGCAATAATTTGACAAGTTGTGCCAAGGCAGTAGCACATATATTTTTATTCATTTATCTATCACATTCATTTTATCATTCATTTATCATTCATCATTATATCATTCATTTTATGATTAATTTGACTTTATTTGCACTATTACGGTATCTTTCTTTATCAATGTGCCTCAGTGTTATCGAGTAGCCTGGAGTTGACTCGAATCATACAAAAACCCGGTTTTTTAACTTTCCAGAATATCCGATCCAATCCATTTTTTATTTAAAAACTAGAACCGAAATTCGATCCGAAAAATCAGATCCAATTCTATCATTTTCTTATGCACATGTACTCAAAAAATTACCGAATCCGATCCAAACAGATTCGGACACGAATTACCAAAAAACGATATTTTATTAACTCCGGAGTAGGTCCCAAATCTTTTGGTTCAAACGACCACCAGTAGTAAATCGACAATTGCCATGGTAATAATTTTGCTAACGAGTATAGCTAACGAATTAAAAGGACAAACCTGCGTAGACACTCGGATCCACCAGGCCCCTCCGTGCTGATAAACTCCCGTGAAAAGGTTCCTTTTCTTGATGAGCTCCTCGTCAAACCAGCCGGGAACGATGAGTGGGTGGTCGTAAACTTGAATTGGCAGCTGGACATCGACACAGCTCCCCATTTGTTCGTCTTCTTGCAAAATTCGTGTTCTGAATCGACCCGCCAAATATGCCCCGCCCTCTTTTGCTAGAGCATGAGTGTAGTTCCGGATTACCGCTTCGCCCCCTAACTCGGCGCGAAACGCGAGAGCTGCTGGGATTGTTATGTAGGGTGAATAGTCGATTGTCCCCGTCCAGAAGAACTCGTCCTGGAAATTTTGAAAAAATGTATTTATGCACTTGGTAAAAAATCTTTAAGCGTTTCCTACTATAAGAAATATTTAGTTGTTAACATTTTTTCTGTATGAATATTCATTCAATTCTTAAAAGTTTTCCGCTATAAAATGCATTTTATAAGCTTAACGGTATAAAAAATCTTAAGGATTTTCCGCTGTAAAAAACAGTTCTTGAAAATTTCCGCCTACAAAAAATCCTGAAATCTCTTGTTTCTTTAATACATACACATGTAGTATTTCTAAATTCGTTGTATCTAAAATACTACAACTAAAAATACTACCCATTTTTTAAATTTCCCATGAGTTTCACATTCTCTCGCTATTTTTCCTATTCTCGACACACCAAAATTTGAATAACTCACCTGGAAACGCCCGCCATTTTTGTCATAATTTGACGAAATAATGGCCGGATGAATTGTCGCCTGTCGCACTTTATCCACATACAGCAGCGCTCCCGATCTCGCCGCGTAAAACCACTTGTGCGCATTCGTAATATAGTAGTCTGGTTTTACTGTGGCCAAGTCAATCTCAACCTGCCCCACGGCATGCGCGCCATCAATCAAGGTCAAAATGCCGCGCTCTTTCAAGTACGAGGTGAACGCTTGGATCAGATTGATAACATGTGGCACAGAGGTCACGTGGTCAAACAGCGCCAATCTAATCCTCGACCCAGAAGCGGGATTATGATTCGCAGTAACGAACGCTTCAAACTGCGCCATCAGCGCGGCATTTGTAATTGGATACGTTACCGGCATCTCGATCGAGGTCACGGTCCCGTTCGACGTGTCGCAAACGTACCTGTTCAAAAAATATTTCTTCATTCAAAAGTAGTTTAAGTTCAATTTAAAAAATTGAAAAAAAATATTCCTTTACTCAAAATTTGAAATTAAATATTTACTCATTATTCATTTTTTACATTATCTCAAATTTCCCTTATTAGGTGAATTCCTCAATACACAACGTATATTAAGAATATCGCGAAGAATGAAAAATTAATACTATTCATTCATTCTTTATGAATATGAATTAGATATTTATGTGTTTATGTATTCAATATTCATGAAGTCAAAAAATATTGAAAAATATATTCACTCATTACTCGAATTTTTTGAAGAATGAATGAACATTTTATTCATGCTATGAGACTGTGAAACTTTATTGTGGCAAACTTACTGAATTAGCGACTTCATCGCGCCGTAAACCGTGCTAAAGTGCATAATCTTATCACCACGTTGCCAAATCATGCTCCGCAAGATGGCGTTCATCCCGCTGGTCGTGTTAGGAACGACGACAATATCGGAAGCGTCCGCTTTCAAAAGAGATGCAATCTGGGCGCGAACCTTGTCCATTTCGATGCGCGCGTCGATTCGAATCCAGAGGTCGGCATTGGACTCGATCCGTTCCTGGACTTGACGTAGAGCGGTTTGCACGCGGCGGGGAAACGTTCCTATGTGTTTAGAAACATACTAATGGCAAAAAAATAATGTACATGGCCCTAAATCATGTCCAAGAGTGTTGAAATAATTGTAAGATTAATTTCCTTAAAAATTATAAAGTTTCAATGTTACAGTCACTCTAAATGAAGATGTATAAAATTAACCCAAAGCTGAGTAAGTGGAAAAGAAGATGACACAACAATTCGCAAAAACTTGTCAAACTCTGTGTCCAATTTGTGTATCTGTCCAGCCGTTACAAAATTTTAACCAAATTGTTGTATCATCCGCTTTACCTTTTACTCAACTTTGCATAAACTTGGTTTACGTAAAGTGCATGTATATTAAGCTTTTTTCATCATTTATAAATTCTAGTTCAATAAATTGTCCACATCGTGCATTAATGTTAAGTTAATAAGTACACACTTCAATGAAATAACAAAAACTAAAGCCCGATAGCGACACAAAAATTTTTTGTACACAAAACCACCAAATTTTGACTTTGATCCTTGCTAAATTTTATTTTCTTACCGTATGCGCCATGATTTAGTGGAGTATAGTCAGCAGCGTGTAAAAATTCGGCCCTCATTTCCCTCCCCATAGGCGGCAGAGCTATTTATAAAAATTATTTATATATTTACAAACTCCACTCTAAATAAAGGTTGAGCTAAATTTGCCCAAGTAAAAAAGTCGGTGACGCAACAATTGGTAAAATTGTCCAACCCGTTGCACAAATTCGGCTAAATTTTTGCTTCATCCATTTTTGTACTTAACCTTCGGTAAATTTAGGACAAGTTTTATTTAGAGTGCAAAATACTTCGTATTAGAATGCATAATTAAACACTATTAAATCAAACTGGTCCCCACCTTGTCGCGGAAGATTGGACGTGTCTCCATTTTGCACGAGGAGAGGAACAATCACGACGAAAATACGGACGCAAAAGTTAAAATTTAACATTTCTCCAACCCCGTAATTAAGTAGTAGAAATTTCTGCACAGAATAAAATCGCATGCACTTGGTGAAGGACAAGAGTCATTAACTGGTTAAATCCATTACTTAAATATTTTGATGACAGCTTATCTCTACTGATATGACAACCTTGATTAATTATTACTTCTCTGTTAAATATTTGTATATATAATTTATTACATACTGGGAACTTTAGTGTAGGGCAAAAAACTTGTTTTCGCAATATTTTGGTTGAATCCATGTATGTACGTATGGTTCTATTTGAATACAGAATTTGTGAAAAGAAGTGATAAATCTTAATCAATTAACGATTTATATATTTGAGAAGAGTTATAAAATATTTTTCATAAGTCTATATGTGCACGTACATATTAAACTTACAGATATGTGTTTCATTTTGTTTGTTTTCTTATTTCATTTCCTGGTTAAGGAAAGGATTCTTTTTGAATGTTTCTGAAAGATATATATTTTTGCATAGTTATATTTGTATGAATGCACTTGTCTGGAAAAATATATGTACACTTTTATATATGTGCACTGTAAACAATCTGGTAATAAACATTACCGAAAAGCACAAGTATATGACTCTACCAAAGTGGTAATGATAAGCTATACCATTTGGTAATGGCTTGGTTATAAAGTTTTACCATCATGGTAAGGAATTTTTACTACCTGGTAAAACATTATTGCCAAATTTATTACGGAGAAATCATTACCTGCCTGACTTTACCGAATTATTAAGAGTGTACATATCGATAGATGTTGTGAGATTCAAGATCTGAACTTGAATCTTACAGCATCCCCTTCGACCTTACGAGTTCAAAATGTCTTACATTTTCAGAAATTTAATAAAGTATTTTAAAAATTCGTAAAATTCATTATACCTATATTTACACTCTAAATCAAATTGTGTCTACAATTTACCTAATGAAGGTAAAATTTACTCATTTATTTATGTAACGAAAATCCTAAATACAGATTTATGTGGATAAATTTTAACTTCCATTGGGTAAATTCTGTAGTTTTGTCATCTCAAATTTTATGTAACTTTGAATACATTTTTAATACAATTATTCAGAGTGTATTTGCATTAACTGAACGCATTTTTTAAATTTAGTATTAAAAACGCTTCCTGTAAACGGCGTGCACATGCATAAAATATTTGGCACATCTAAATAAATATTTCGCCGAGCTTTGTTCTCCATCACAAACCAGTTTCCGTTATTCCACTCCTTCTACATTTTTCAGTATGCCGAACATTAATTGTCTCATCGTGAGCTTATCAGATGATTGATTCTCATAACTCGTTTCATACGACGGCTACGTGACAGGGTAATGTTACAGGGTTAGTCATATTTAAATACACACACAATTTTAAAGCTATTTTCCCCAAATGCTTCAAATACAAAAATCGATCGCCTGTTGCATTTAGTAATTTATGATGCGTTCTATGAAAATATGTAAATAATATACATAAATTTTCCCTCAGAAATTTCTATAGGTATCTTTTCTGAAATTTACTAAAATCTGTGAAAAAGAAACTGTTGTAATTTTACTCAGCCAAAATTAATAACAATGTATGTAGCCGAATATCTAGCAACGTCATATATGACGTCATATTTGTATGTTCAAATGCCTTGCAAAATAATTAAATTTCCAACCAAAGAATTACTGAAGATAATTAGTAAACAAAATTTCTCATATTTAAAAATATCACTTCCTCACAAAGCTTTCTCGCCATGTTCTCTCAAAATTTCATGAAAAGAGTAACGATTTGAATCCGACATAAAAACTACGTAGAAATTAAAATGTTTGTACTTTTATCCCGGGAACCCTGGATATTTAATGACACAATCAATCAGGAATTACACACTTTACAGATAATGCACATTGTTTAATTCCTATTACACAACTATGTATGTAATAAGCAATTATGTACATATATAATTTTTGTGATCTCGTGATAAACACATTTTTTAATTAAAATCATGACGAAACAATTAATCAGGCTAAAAAGTCTTATTATCTATTTTTAACTTGGAGTAAATCAAGTCTGAATTTTACAAATTACGTAACAAATTTTTTGTAGCATTTAGAATTAATTTAAGTAATGCTTACATTTACAGTGTTACTATTTGTAAATACAAGTTCCTCAAAACACTTTTGCTAAAAGTTTGCATATAAAGTTTTAAAATACCAACTTGTATAAAGTCGCTATTATCGTCAAATTCATATTTATGATTTTTCGTTTAATTTTTCAATGCCATTTATTAATGTTCAAGGTTAAAGCTAAAATTTTAAACTTTTACATTATGTACGCTCGTCCATACTGGATACACACACACACATACGTAGTAATTATAAATATGTACATATGTATTTGGGCTGAACACATATGCAATTGATTTATTTCCATGCTTATTTACGAGACCAATTAATCATGTGCCAAATAATATTAAAAATTTCATTTCTTACTTACTTAATTTATATTAGTCAATTATGGTTATCTTACCTAAAAGAGCATCAGATCGTTCTTAACTCGTCTTTAACTATTCCTTCGTCCTTTTGCTTCTCAAATGTGGAATACGTATTCAAAATAACATATGGTCAGAATAAACATCACAAAACATAAATACTTTATGGATAATTTAATTACACATAGTTTTAGTGGAGAAACGAATAAAAATGTTTACCTGCAATGCGTACATACAAAAGATGACAAATTTTTCAATAAAAATAAAAATACTAATATTAATGCACTTCCGGTAAAAACCAGCTTGATCTGGTGAACTAACGCACGCTCTATTTTTCTTCCAAGTAAATAAACTAATTTATGTACCAACAAAGATTAATGAATTTATTAAAATCAGATGATGTCTTATTCATTTTTATTCATTTATTTTTGTATCTCTCCCACGTACATATTAAACACTGACAATTTACTTACAATTTTTTGCATGCACAAGTACATACACACGTTATGTATGATACGTAATAACGTGAAGAGGTACATACATACATATGTAGATGAGCCATACGTCACCGATAAGTTTCATTCATCACCAGTTTCACCAACAACTTATGCAACTTCGTAAATATGTACATATGTAAGTATGTATGAATCTCATAATACACATCACCCATTTTTCTGACTCTTCAATAACATCAATAAAAATGACGTTGTTCCTTTCTTTTATCAAATCCGAGGAAGATTGTTAATTATTAAATAAAAAAATATGATTGAAACAAGAAAACAAGACGTCAACCGTCAAATTGAGTGTGCTGAAAAAACCACATAAAAAGAGGAAGCAGAACATTTACCAAAATCATTCTCATTACAAACCTTGTCCTTTACAATTTTCTAAAGGAAATCTCTCCGTTTTTGTACATTTTGTAAAGAAACTTCGATTTTGGATTAATATTTTGGAAAGATTTACATTCTTAATACCAAAACAGTATCTTAAAATGAAGTCGTTCATCTATCTCCTTGCAATTATTGCTTGTATTCAGTCAGTATTAGGAAACCCTGTCCGATCAAGTTCCGATGACGAAGATTGGGCAGCTTTCAAGGTATTTTTTAAGTAACAAAATATTGTTCATTTTAGTAGTGCAAAAATTTATCCACAAATTTGTTTTTCTATTTTTTTTAGCTAAAACACAATAAAATGTTCCACAATTCGAGCATCGAAGCTAAACGAAAAAATGCCTTCGTAGGAGCCCTTCGTCACATCAGAGCGCATAATTCAAATCCTGCCAACACGTTTACATTGGGTAAAATTTCCAAAATTTCTAAAACTCAACTGTTGAACAATTAGCTTCATTTCCCTAATAATTTCAGCCACCAACGAATATTCGGATCTCGAACCGGCAGAATTTGTCTCGCAAATGAACGGCTTTAAAGCCTCGTCTCCCGTAGGGCTTAGAAATGTTGGATTATCCGCCGTAATGGCTACCGCCCCGGCATCCATCGACTGGAGAACGGTCGGATGGGTTACACCAGTCAAAAATCAAGGCCAGTGTGGGTCATGTTGGAGTTTTTCTGCGGTAAGATTTTACTTCAGTTTTTCACAATGTATGCACATAATAAAAATGTATATATCTTTTTCCTCTAGACGGGGGCACTGGAAGGAATGCAGAAAAACAGGACTGGAACCTTGCCAAATTTGTCGGAACAGAATCTAATCGATTGTTCGTCAAGTAAATGAGAAACTCTAAATTTTTTAAAAGAAGTTTACAAATAATCAACCATCGTTTAAAAGTAAATATTCAATAGTTATTTATGTATTACACTAAAAGGTTACGGAAACCAGGGATGCAACGGTGGTTTGATGACTGCTGCCTTCAACTATGTCAAAGCCAATGGTGGTCTTGACACGGAAATAAGTTATCCCTATAAAGGGGTTCAATCCACTTGCAAATATTCTGCGGCCAACAGTGCCCTAGCAGGTCTTACAGGATATGTTAATATTGCTACAGCAAATGAGGCAGCCTTGCAACAAGCTGTTGGTTTGATTGGACCGGTAGGTTTTTGATTATGTAATAAAGTATTTAGTTTTTGTGACAATTTCGTACATTCGTAAAGTGCGTAAAATTTTATCGAAATTTAAATTCGAAATTTAGCTTACGAATTTCATCGCATAAATTTCAGATGCGTTAATGGCATCCTAGATTTTTTTAAAATTTGCGTAATCATAATATTGCGAAGTTGACAGTATTTTACATAAAATAATATTTTACATGGGCATAAACTTAAGATTTTTGAATTTTCCATTCAGGTGTCTGTAGGGATTGATGCTTCTCTAGCTTCCTTCCAATATTACTCGTCGGGAATATATAACGATACCGCATGCTCCAGTACCTCCCTGGACCATGGCGTTTTGGTGGTTGGGTAAGTTACTACTTGTGTCACGTATAAAAATAATTATGCATATCATTCTCATAAAACTGAATATTTGCAGATATGGTGCCGACACGACGGGGCATGCGTACTGGATTGTAAAGAATTCCTGGGGAACTACGTGGGGTCAGCAGGGATACTTTTGGCTTGCAAGAAACAGTGGAAATAAGTGCGGAATTGCTACAATGGCAAGCTATCCAAAATTCTGGTAGTAATTCCAGACATTCGGATAAACTCACCCAACTTTCCGGAATGAGTATAAAATATGTAATTTATATTTTACTTAATAGTATTAAGTTATATAATACATTCATGTTTCCTTTCCCCACAAATTATTAGAGACTTACATAAATGTATAACAGTTGGTGTATTTCGTTCCATAGATATTTAAATAATATTTATTTACATACGTATTTAGGTAAGTTTCACTTAAAATGTAAATATAAAATAATTGTAACTTACACAATATCATAAAACGAACGCATGTAATACCTACTGTCTCAATTAATATTAAGTATTTTTTATTAAGTATTTAAGAACACTGAAATTTGTAACTTGTATTTCATTCTTATTAAATGTACGTACGTAACTTATCCTTCGATAACATAGATCTCTGAATTTCATTCGCATCAAACTATGTAATTTTCAGCAATAATTTCCATAATATTGAGACATTCATGGTACATACAGTCTAAATAATCTAAACTATTCCATCCTTGTTCGCATATTTACTTAAAACGTTAGCAACAAGTTAATCGTATAATCCACAATATTTTGCAGGATTGCTACCATCCAATCGGACGTTATAGTCCCAAAATTTCCGCATTTTATCCCAAACGGCTTCAATGAACGGATCGATTTTATCTCATATTTTTGAAAACAACTCTTTTTCAACGTCTCATAGTATGTTTGCCCCTCCTCATGCAGAATAGTTGCCCATGGCAACATTGTGAAAAGAAACGTCACCGCGATCAAGCCCAACAATGGAAACACCATGTAGACAACAATGTGCAACCGGCCGTTTTTGAAGGAAGGATTGCATTCCTACGTAATATTTTTCATATTTACAATGAGGAGGTGTCAGGTGGTTATCGCCAATGCGGACCGGACTAATTTTAAATTGTTCAGGCCCAGAAATAAGCCCACCCGTATTTTTTGGTTTTCCTGAATGGGCATATTTTGGCCCGTGGCGGAATTTTCAAAACAAATTTCAGCCAAAATCCTAATTTTTAAAAACGCTGTAACTTTTCGAATTTTTGCCCGATTTCAAAAATTGAATACAATTTGTGTTCAGAATTACTTCCCTGAAAATATAAAAATTCAATTTCAAAAATTTTTCGAATTTAATATTTTCATGCCATTTCTGAGTTTTTAGAAATGAAAAAAACGATAATTTTTGGAAAATTAAAAAATTTTTGAAAATGAATTTTTATATTTTCAGGGAAGTAATTCTGAACACAAATTGTATTCAATTTTTGAAATCGGGCAAAAATTCGAAAAGTTACAGCGTTTTTAAAAATTAGGATTTTGGCTGAAATTTGTTTTGAAAATTCCGCCACGGGCGTAAATATGCCCATTCAGGAAAACCAAAAAATACGGGTGGGCTTATTTCTGGGCCTGAACAATTTAAAATTAGTCCGGTCCGCATTGGCGATAACCACCTGACACCTCTCCATTGTTAGTCATTTCATTTCATTAAAATAAATTCCTGATCCGTTTTTCCAAATTAAAAAATACCTGATCAAATCGCCTTATTGGAATTAAAAAAAATATCCCCTTCGTTTTTTTTAGATAAAAAAAACCTCAGTCCACTCTCATATTCATTCATATAAATGAAAGTAAACAGTTTTGGTGACGGTTACCTTTATGGTAATAATGGTCACCGAATTGGCACGATCTGACCCAAGAGCGAATTCCCACAATCCTCTGGTCGGGTCTAGGTCGAGAATTAGTCCGACTGAAAGTATGGGCGGTGAAATGACCAAGAAAACCCACGTGGCATGCTTCACAACCATTTCCAATCTTGGATTACTTTGAGTATCAATTGAAATTAGTTCTGAAATAAAAGAAGTCTCCATGTAAAGCGTGTTGACTTAATTCGCCCCGATTTCTTCAGTCAAAATTTGAACCTCAAAAATGATGAAAACTTGGAGGTCAGAATTTTCATCAGAGTTACATACGTTGCTAATTAGAATTTTACTAATTTATACTAAATAATCGCACCCCTTACTCTCTCAATTTGATTTTGTGTTCATTTTCTCAAACTGTTTCCCAAAACACAATCGGGACGAATTAAATCAACACCCTTTATTACCTATTTTTTGGCCTGGTCTTTACTTAATTCATCATTTTGACGTAAACACAATTCACCAATAATCAAATTATGTATTACCAGATACTTTCGAACCACATTGTTCGATTGGATTCATCGCATGACAAATATATTTTGGTCGGAATGCTGCCAAAAAACTGGGGCAAGTGCAACACGGGAGCAGAGTGACGATAAAGACGCATATCAGCATTCTTGCAGTTTCCCATCCATCGGACTGATCTACTTGTCCATACTTCAGTTTGTGTAAGAAGATGAGCAAAAACACCGAGGTAACGAGTGGCATCAAAGATGAAGATAATTTTATCCAGACGATCTTCCAGTTTGGCAGAACGCGCAATTTTAGCTGCTTTTCGCTGTGATTGTAAACAAACGGGAATATGGATGCTCTCCGAAAAACTTTGACATAAGTGTCAAATGCATCCCAAAGTCCGGGCGATGTAAGGTTTTTAATTTTCTGAATTTTTGGCGGCATATTATCATGTCACCCCCTCAGAAAAATAACGCTACATAGGTAAATAAAGGGTGTTGATTTAATTCGGCCCGATTGCTTTTTGAGGTATTACATATCCACAGGAAAGATTGGGACGAATTAAATCAACGCCCTTTACAATGCCCACACATAAACATAGTGACATATCAGGATTTTTAAATGGGTTTAAATCGACTGCTTATGATATCGGTGAGTTAGTCACTTTTATACCAGACACCGTAAATCCTCTTTTTATGGCCGGGTCTGCTAGCGAAGATTTAAAGATTTTGATAAGTCCGTTTGTAATTGTGGGAAGCGTTTAAATCGACAACGTAAATTCTTCATTGCATGTATGTAAATATGGTCGAAAAAAGTCCCAGCTTTAGCCAGGCTGTATTCACAGATGAGTTTGTATTACGTATTTTTAGATCCGGCAATAAATAGAGCATTTACGGTGGGTGGGTTTAGTAATTTCTAAATTAGCTAATATGCAGAGGGCGAATTCAATAAACAATCAGCGAATAAGAATTTAGTTTTCTTTCAGGTTAAGACGAAATAACGAAACGAGAATAAATATGTATTTTATGAGATAAAGCCTTTTACTCAGGACGGATTTTTTCCCGAAGCCACAGGTTACCAGTGATGGGCGGCCTCGGCCTCTTTGAGGCAATTTTTTGTGACCTCATGCCTCGGCCTCTCTAAGGAATTTGAGGTCGAGGCCAGTGAGGCCTGAGGGCTACTCTTCGAAAATTAGTGAGGCCGAGGCCGACCTCGCTGAAGCCTGAGGTTCAAGACGTGAGGCCGAGGCCGAAATTATGAGGCCGAGGCCTGGAAGTTTTTCGGCGAGGTCGAGGCCAATGAGGTCTTAGGCCTCACCACAGTTTTAATTGGAGAGGCCGAGGCCGACCTCGCTGTGGCCTGAGGTTCAAAGTGTGAGGCCAAGGCCGAAATTGAGAGGCAGAGGCCTGGAGTTTTCTCGGCGAGGCCGAGGCCATGTGAGGTCGTAGGCCTCTTTTAATTTTTCGAGAGGCCAAAGCCGAAGAGGCCGAGGCCTCGTGAGGTTGCCCATCACTGCAGGTTACTCACTATGTACGTATTAAATTACTTCTTTACTGGAATCAGGAGGCAACACCGACAAATAAGGCGGTGGGGCATGATTTCTCTGCCGCTAGGCGCCTAATTGTTGCAGCAATATAGGAAATCGGAAATATCGGTGTCGGGTGCGACGCGTAAAATACGGCGGCGTAGGGTCTGACTGCAATTACTTACATAAATTTCACTACAAACCGTATTTATCAAATGGGAGTGTTCTTCAAATAAATTACAAAATGTTGTTTAACTTCCTTCTTCCTGTGTTTGCAATGTTTTTTTTCATATGAAAAATCCTTCCTGAGTACTAATCTTAATGCTTTTAATTCGGGAACAAAGCATTTTAAAGTTTGCAGACTAGTTGATAAATAATTCAAAAATGGCAAACATCGCTACATATTTTTATTTCTTCCCAACCTAGGCATACATATAGCAAGGTTGAAACCTAAAAATGAAACCAGCCAGTAAAATAATTAATTATTGAATGACAAAAACATCCAACTGTAGCTCGAAATATTCGAGGAATTAGGACTGACGTTTATTCAAAACGAACGGAAGTCCTTAATTTAATCCATTTTGTACAATATCTATGTAACTCAGAGAAAGCAGCAATGCTTTGTTTTATAATCGACCTTTACTTGTTTGTATGAAAAGGAATATTTAGAATCCAAACTCATCAATCCAAAGATGCGATGTTAAAGAGGGTTGATTTAATTCGTCCCGATTATCAATCTTCGAAAACCAAGAAGGGCGAAATCTTTATTATTAAATAGGGAAGCAATCCTACATAGATAATTAATCTTTCAGAAAATTTATGTTAATCATGCCCTTAACTCTTCTCTTTTGAATTTGGACTAATTTTCACAAACTTTTATAGGTTCCGAAAAATAATCGGGGCGAATTAAATCCGCACCCTTTATGTACGGGGCGGGGGTTCATTTACATATAAATGGATAATTTTCTATAAATTATAGCCGCGTCTGAAGCCAAGACAGACCCTAAAATTACAATCCTGCTATATTTGAAGACACGACAAAACGATGATTAAGTACGTACATATGTTGATTTGGTCATTATTTTACTAAATGCATACATTCTTTTACGAATGATTACCATCTGATAATTTAAATAATTATGTTGGATGTTAATACATATTAGGTAACATGGTACATAATAATGTAAATCTTTAAACAACACTATTTTAGTGTTATGTATGTATGTAGGCTTTATTCGGTAATCTTGAATAATCCCTAGGGCACTTTATAAATTACGTCAGGCAAAAATCGCGATTTTCGACAACCCCATCCCACCTCTCGCTTTTAACCCTTTAAACTGTAACGAAGACAATAGTCGTTTTATAAGAAATGGCTTAATTCGGGAGTAAGACAAAAGTCGTCCTAAAAAATCGTGGGTCATGGCGCGGAGGGAAGACAATTGTCGTTTCTAGGAGGTCATTGATTTTTTCTATTTTCTCTCCGGGACCTAAAATTTGTTGCAATTTTGAGGGATTTCTCCTATGCCAACACAATGCTAAATTTGAAGATTTTCTTCCCGAAAATTTGGATATTTCCCTATACAACGCAATGTTAAATTTGGGATTTTTCAGTTTTTCGAGTTGTATTAAAGTTTTAATACAAATAGGAGAAATTCAGGAGTTTTAATTTAAAACTCCTGAATTTTGAATTTCTACTCCCGCGTCATGACCACAACATACTGATAGCGTCCCTGAATCAATGCAATTTCTTGTTGTTATTTATGCACGTTAAAGGGTTAACAAATCACTTGTTAACTTATGTTACATACATACTTTATGTATGTCCCCTTCTTATTCTAAATTTGGAGATATTTACATACCCACGTATGTTACTCCAATGGAATGCAATCGCTCACTAATGGTTATCTAAATATTACTTATCACGACAGAATTCCATCGAGTAAAGGATTACGGATTACGCGTGGACAGGTGTGGTGGATCAAATCGATCAAGCTTACCCAAAAATTGATAAGCACTTTTTGAATGTCCAGGTTTCCAATATTGTGTTTCTAGTTGTAACCTGATTGCACTGTGCGAGTGCACTACTTTTCAAAAAATGTAACTACATTTTCATGTACAACAAAATTTTCCTCCTGTTTTTAGTTGGAAATAAATCGAAATTCCAGAGACCTCGCAAAAAAATGAGTATGACTTGTGCACTTTTTTCATCAATAAAATTATCCAACAAAAAAATTAGAGCACACAATAAAGCAAAATGCAATTGCACAAAAAACACGAATTTTGCAACCCTGGCCAATGTAAAGTAACAAATAAATACGACGCATCGCATAGTTTACGTTCATTCTATTTTAACCTGCGTCTCATCTGACTTTTGCATAAATACATACTTTTTCCTCAAAATGTTGCAAAAATTGGTCGGAATTTCTCTACTTCCGTGCCTTGTGTTGGGTAAATTATTTATTTATTGACTTGAAAGAAGTATTTCAGACCAATTTTATCATCTGGATCAAATCCAAATTTTACTCAGGTCAAGTATTTCCGGGCGGTCCGTTTCCAGGCGGAATACAATCCTGCTATAACACTCCGTCCAATGGTATGTACATACATTATAAATTTAAATAAGTTAAGCAATTAAAAAACTTTTTAATTAAGTAAAGAAATGCGTACAAATTAACACAAGCTTTACACAAGCTTATATAAACTTTACAATTTGAATAAATTACGGACGAAATTTGGGCATATACAGTCAATGGAACAAGTATTGGCAACACCCACGCAAGCTAAATAAAATTGGCTATAACTTTGGCATGCATTATCGAATTAGCATGAAAATTTGTACGCATTTAGTTAATTTAAAGTTGTTTTCGATTATAATCATGTTTTACTGCTCAAAATTATATTAACGCAGTTTTTAAATAATTTGCTGGAAAATTTGCAAAATTAACCCGCAAAAAGTATTGGCACCCTCTAACTTAAAAAATCATAGAGCAAAGAAAGGCCAATTTTACTGCAACACACTGCTTCTAGTATTACGTGGTACCTCCCCTCGACGCAATAAGAGCAGAAATAGGCCATGGAATTGATTCGACAAGGTTCTTTATAACGTTTTTTTATATGGTTGGCCACACTTGTTTCGAACTTTTGACAAGCTCGTTTTTCGTCGAGTGGTTTCCCACCGGTCTCTCTTTTCGCAGCCCAAACAATCAGAATGACATCAGGAGACTGTGCAGCCAACGAAAGAAGCGTAACCTTTTCGGTCTCCAAAAACTTGCATCGTTAATTGGGGTAGCTGTTTTGAGTCACTGCATTTTTGGAATATAAAATTCCTCCACAGGTCAGGTTTTTATCAAATAATTTCAAATTATCGTTTGGAATGATTACTTAGACCTCCCTGGTCATGATTTTGTCGATAATGACCAGGTAAACACGCCGCCACCTAGTCATTTAACCCCAAACCATAATCGATCCTCCTATGTGTTAAACTGCCATACGAACGTTTTAGTATTTCTGAGCCTTTTATTGCATCCGCCAGACTTGAACCAATTAATGAGCTCCGAATAAGTAAAATATGCCTATGTGAGACCAGTAGACTTTATTTCATTCATTGGAAGTCAATTGAGGCTTATATTTAGCCCATTCCAATTTATTGAGGTGGTTCGCTTTTGGGACTCTCTCGTCGGTCGGGCTACTGGAGCCTGAAACCCTAAGGCATAATTTTTTAGTGAACACCAAATTGAATGATATGTTTGCCCCACAGTTGGTACTGAAATTCGACATGGATTTGGGGGCTATAATCTTCCGATCTCGAGTGATTTGTTGCTTGATTCATCAGTAGATTTTGGGCGTAGGTGACCTTTTTCCTCCGCATCGTCGAAAAGTAGAAACTGAGATCGTCATTTTATATTTCTTTGCTACGTTTTCAATAGTGAATATGGAAAAGTATGTTTTCTCTTTGATTTTTCGATAACAAAGCATTTTTATAGAAGAGGCATGAATATTTCTCGCCGCGCCAAATACAGCTGGTTTAGTGCCGCCATTTTGGCTCCAGACAACACAACTGTAGACTTAAAATGTCGCTAACGTTATATTTTGTCACCTAATTACCTTACCGTAACGAAATGTGGAAGATGGTTAAGAAAATTGTGTCGAGTAACTAATTTAGCCACATGTTGCCAATACTTTTTGCAGGTTCGTACCTGACTAGTTAGGGTCAAAATTTGGATTGCGTTATGTTTACAAGATTTAAATCGGAAACACGATTATAATCGAACACTACATTAGATTTATCAAATGTGTCCAAAGTTTCATGCCAATTTGATAACGCATGGTAAAGTTATAACCAATTTTATTTAGCTTGCGTGGGTGTTGCCAATACTTTTTCCATTGACTGTATGTAACTTTGTTAAGCATGAACGCCAATAAATTTTATGCAAATAAATAAATCATTATATTGCCAGTTTACAATATGCACCGTGACTGACAATATGACTGTGTGAAGTGAAACCCTCGGATTTGTTTGAAATTTCGAAATTAGGTGGTCCACGCCAATAGAACCAACGTTTCTTCAGGCAGCGATGGTCAGAATTTGGCAAAATATTTGAGGTCAAAGTTGAAAAACGTGCAATTTTTGGCATGGGAAAATAATAGAAGTTGAGTGAGCTTCCTCCGCCTGGTAAAATCGCCCGTTTTTCAAGTTTGACCTCAAATATTTTGCCAAATTCTGACCATCGAACCTCCGTGCCCGAAGAAACGGAGGTTGTGTTGACATGGCCCACGTAATTTCAAAATTTCAACCAAATCGAAGGGTTACACTTCACACCATCGCATTGTAAATTAAATCCGATAAAATGCCCCCTTTCTAGGTCAACCGTACGGGGAATGTTTGCAAGACGATTGTTGCGAAGGTGGCGTCGCGATTTCGAATTTGTGTCCCAATTATGCCAACAATATTCGGTGCTGCTTCTCCCGAAATAGGTGCACGACGGGATGCGGTAAATTTTCATAAAATTATTTTTCCGTGCCAAATTTGTGTATACTTTTTTATATAAAATTTGATCTTCATCCAGGTGCCTGTTACGACGTGGAGGCGAAAGATTATGCGTGTCGCATTCTCGCAATGCACGAGCGAGGAGAAATTCGTCTCAAATCGGACCATTTCAGCGCCGACGGGAATAATCCGTACGATGGGGCGTCGGCCCTGTCAAACGTTCGGGACACGTGTTACGGCCGCCAGGTCAAGAGATCCAAGTAAGCAATCGGTTTTGCATGGGATTCTTACTGAGCAAATAATTCTGCAGTAATTAACATATCTACATACATAATTGCAATTTTTTTGCATACATATTCCTTGCCATAAATATCTGCGTAACCATATATACATACGCGCATATTTTTTTCGGCACAAATCGCTCTGCATATAAATAGTTTTTCTGTAGAAATTTGGCCCAATTTATGCACAAAACCAAGCAAAAGTTGAGGGAAAAATAGGGCCAAATTTCTACGCCGTACAAATTTTTAGCCGGGATATTTGAGATTTTTAAAAATTTATTTTCAAATGTAAATATGTATGTTATAAGTTTTAAATCGGAGATAAGCAAGTTTTTAGTTTTTTAAATCGAAGCTACTGCGCAGCCGCGCCGGGTGGGTGTGTCTGCTTGAAGGGTTCCATGCTTCGTGCCATGCACACTTACGCAGTCAACTTTCGTGCCCAGTATGGGCAATCGATTGACATCAACGCCATCGCGGGGTCGTGCCACTCCTCCACCTCGTGGCATTATCAGGGAAACACGTGGGACATTTCATGCTCAACTCCGCGGTAAGCACTAAAATGCACACGAAAATGAGTCGCTCGTAAAATTAGTATAGCATGAATTACGCATTGTTAAACAAGTTATTTCCCGCCAAAATTAATATATAATTCATTAATTAGCTTAAGGAAACCAGGATTATTTTATGTTCTCAATTTATTCTGAAACTACAAATTCTATTTCAGAAATCACTGCACCGCTTTGAGAGATTTCTGCCTCGCGCAAAACATTGTGGAAGCCTGTTACCCGGGATCCAGCTGCGGCGGGCATGAAACCTGGGTCCACTGCGCATTCGCGTAAACAAAGCGAACCAAATCCAACTTTTTGACCAAATGCACAACTACAAATAAATATTATACATGAAAAAAATTCAACTTACTGAATAAATGTAATACAATTACAGCAAAATTAACGCAAATTATGCTTATCTAATTCTTTCATTTAATGAGCAAATAAATAAATCAACTAATTATATATCAACCCTATCTCAACCATACCTGCTCACATTCTCTCATTCGCACAACATTAATTAATGAAATGCATAAGTAAATAATTCACCAAATGAGTGAGTGTATGATTTTCCCAAATTTCTGATCTGGTGAGTATTGAGGAAATAAATAAAATTCAATACATTAAATTCATTTTATACTGATGAAGAATGAATCAATGCTTTTATTCATTTGGTAACTTTCTCACCTACCACACGCGCACACTGCATGAAAACGCAACTCTGTATGTAGATATTTCATGAAGAGACAAAGTCTGCTCAACTTTCCTCCCTTCACTTTTTCCCAGCTTCACAACTCCAGGGAAGAGAAATTCCGAACTTGGACCAGTTTCATTGGTTGAGCGAAAAGGCGCATGGGCAATGAGGGGTCGTCCACCCACTTTGTCTCTACTAGGTCCGCTTACCTTCGTTAACTAAATTTGATTTATATTCAAATTTAGGTATGCAAATTCAATTTAGTCGATGCACGCGGAAAGTCGTAACTTACCAAATTTACCCCAGTAATACATGAATGCCCCCTACCTTCCTCTTATTGGTTCTTTTTTTCCACTCTTTGGCTAACAATTCTTCTTCTCTGGCTGCCGATTCCATGGTAACTTGATGAGGTTCAGCTGCCATCTTTCCAAACTTCATTCCCACAGAATCATAATATTGTGGAAACATTTCAAAGTCCAGGAAAAATTAATTTATGCAAAAATTTTAAAAAATTAAGAGACTGTTAAGTTAAAATAAGACTTCCCTCATAATTAACTCTATTTAATCGCGATTTACTAAAAAAATTCGTAACTTGTAATCTTATTCCAATTCAAACAAGTGGATTTATTCGTTGCTATAATTACCAGATAATAAAAAACGTGAAAATAGCTAAATTTTGTTGAAACTCACATTTTGTGAAAAACTTTCAGTCAACTTTAAATGCAATATTTGCATTATTATCGTCTTGTGTCTGGACAACTCACCACACGGTTTCCATGGTTACCAATCTAAACCCATTTGCATATATAAAAACTACGAACGAGTGATTTAACAAAATTTAAACAATTTCAAAATGGAGCTACCAAAATTAAGTCAACCTCCCGACAATGTGGATCCGTAATAATACAAAATTAATATTGCTACAATTAAATGCTACTTTTTAACTAAATAAGTATCCAAATTTATTTAATTTACTATTTTTTTGTAGGAAAACAAGAATTCCAGAGTTCAAAAATTTCCTTGCTGAATTGGAAACATTGCGTCGCGTTCTGACCGATGCGGAAACAAAATTGGTTTCCATTACGCAAAAATGCAAAATATATTTTGAAGGTGGGTTCAACATCAAATTTTACTAGTTTAATTATTTTGCCAAAATTAAACCAATTTCCCGTTGTTTTAAATGATTTTATGTCAAAAAGCTGAATTACTTAAGTTTTTAATTGGGATTAAGAAAGAAGAAATATTTGTACGACTTGAAGTGAAACCCGAGAATTTGTACAAAAAAGAAACTTAAAATTCAACACCGAAGACGAATTTACGTGAATAATTTGTGTAATTATTCATAATTTAAATTTACACTCTCTAAAATGAAAACTATTTAAAAACCGGATACCTTACGTACGAAATACGTTAAATTCGCAACAAACTTTGAAAACGTATATTTCAACTGCGAAAAACTTTAACTTCCGCAAAAATATTGCTAGACTTATTTGCAAACAGGGTATTTATTTAGATGTACGGGGTGGTTTAAATGTCAAGTTACATTGGCAAATTTTTCAATCGGAAAAATTCGTAAATTTCCATTAGTTACTACACATTTGGGATTCAGATTTTTATTATTTTTTACCAAAACTTATGGAACACTGATGACAAAATTATTAAAATATTGAATTTCATACGCAAAATAATGGAGATTTGCGAATTCTTCCCATTGAAAAATTATCCATTGTAACCTTACATTTAAACCACCCTGTATAAAATTGCCAAATCAAACCCCAAGTTTTCCACACTGATTATATTACAATTTTAACTGAATTATGTGCGTAATCAACTTTCAGGTTACAGCTACGCCTGTGACCTCCACTTGATGCTGGTGGACGGTCTCAAGACAATTAACGACGGGGTGTACGAAGTCGAGGAGAAATTCCATGCAAATTACGACGCCGAAACGGGCGAGAAGAAACGTCAAGTGGAGGCGCGAACGGAGGACGACGACGCCGTTTTTCAATTACTTCTCAGTCCCCAAGCCACCATGAAATCGGAGGAGCAGGACGAACCGGCAGAAAACTTGGCACCACCGACTGAAGAAACATCGGAGCACCAATTTATTCCAGAAGCGTAAATTATTTCGCAAATTTTGTAGGATTGTAATACATATGAATTTTAGACCTCGATAAATAATTATTCGACAAGCACGGCTGGAACGCAAACTATGGCAAAATACTTATTGTAATCAATATATCAATATATCAATGCTAAAATTTGCAAAATTTTTTGCACAGGTCCACCGTCCCTGCAGAGTCATATGAACCTTCATCCCCACGAACGGAAGAAGAATCATGCAGTGATTGGGATCCCGACGATGAAGTTCCACCCCCAAATTATCAAGAGGACTATAATTCTGAAGATAATCAAGTCGAGAATTCTGGTAATTTTTTAAAAATTTATATTACAAAGTAACCCGACAGTCAATTTCTGAATAAATTGTAACCTCTTTCAGATTCCCAACCACAACAACACCCACCCGTCCCCCCAATTAAAATCAGCAATCTTTTAAAACGCAGAGCATCACAAAGTTTGCAAAGAAAAATAAAAAAATCCCAGAAACAACATGAACAAAAAATTGCTTCCGCTCCCCGAAATTTTGCCGCCCGCTCTTCCTCCGAACCCCCAATTATTATCAGTCCCCTAACCCCACCCCCACTAATCAAAAGGAAGCGGGGACGTCCAAGATCCATCTTCCCAAACCAAACTATCCCCTGGGGAGGGCCCATCCCTGTCCCTGGTCCCCCAGAAAGCGCGGCCGCCCAAGGAAAATCCCTCTCCCAATAAGCTCCCCATCGGTCATATCGCTCCCCAAGAAGCGGGGACGTCCCCGAAAAATCCGCCCCCTTGAAACCGAACAGATCATCACCACCCCCACCGAAGAACCCCCTCGCAGAAAGCGGGGCCGCCCCAGAAAAATCCTCCCCTCCCCACCAATCCCTTCCGAACAAATCATTTGCTCCCCAGAGATTTTGCCACCCCCAAAAAAACGCGGTCGCCCCCGCAAACATCCCCTTCCCATCGCCACCCTGAAAATCTCCCCACCACCCTCCCCCACTTTCTCTTCCTCTCCTCCCACCCCCTCCCCTCCTCTCACACCCCCACCCACCAAACGGGGCAGGGGCCGCCCCCGCAAAATCCGCAAAACGCCACCCACCCTGATCTCCAAGGCTCCCGTGACTTGCCCCATTTGCGAAAAAGTTCTCGCCTACAACGGCCTCCCGCTCCACACACAGCGCTGTCACACGATCCAATCTCTCGATTTTAAATGTTCCCTCTGCCCCCGCGCGTTCCCGACGAAAGGTCAACTCAAAAACCATTTCAAGATCCACTCCGACGTGAAAAACTTTATCTGCGAAATTTGCGGGTGGTCCTTCCACTTAAATTCAAATTTGCAACAGCACATGCGCAAACACCGGGACGAGCGGCCCTTCAAGTGCACCCAGTGCGATGCCACGTTCAAATTCAGCCAATCCTGCAAGCTCCACATGGTGGCGATTCATTCAGACAAGTCGAACCAGTGCACCCTTTGCGGGAAAATGTTCAGCACGTTGACCAAGTTGAAGAGTCATGATCAAAGTGTGCACCAGTCGATTAGGAAATTTGCATGCTCCGTGTGCGGAAAAGGGTTTAAGAGAGGGCATCATTTGAAATATCATGAGAAAACGCATACAAATCCGACCGCGAAACCGAGGGGGTTGAATAGAGGGAAGAGTGCGGATTTTGGGAATGTGCAGGAAAACCGCGTGGCGGGTGAGCATGTGCAGGAAAATCACGTGGAGGATAACCACGTGCCAGATAACGGGCATGGAATGCAAGAGCAAGGCGAATTTATTGCTACTCAATAGAAGAATGTGAATTTCTAGGTAAAAACAAGTCTCAAACGTTTTAATTTTAATGTGCATTTCACTCTTAAGAATATCTTAAAATTGTGTTAAAATAAGTTTACTCTGGATTTTTCTTAGAATTAGTTTACTTAGAATTCGGACTGTATTTATTTTGCGAAAGGGTCGCATTATTCTTAAGACTAAATTTTTTCCACGTCAAAACGGCACCCATTTCGTTGCATGCATTTCTGCTGCATTTTTAAAGTTCTATACATGTATTTATTACCTCGAGGTGAAGAAAATCGTGCTGGTAGAGAAAAAAACTGGTATCTAATCTCTGAATTAAGTATTTATGAATTTACGTATTTAACAGAAATTTGCATGTATGTGTGTAATGTTTACAGTCACAGTATTACATATATTTAGGGTATTTACATATTTAAATAGTTATAGTTTTATGGGGACATCCCTCAGTAAATGAGCTAAATAGAAGAAACGTTTTTATTTTTTTTTGTAAGCTGCTTTGCATTTTTTCCAGCTTTTAGATATTTTCTTCCGTATTTTATTAATGTATACCATTTATCCGAGATTAAACCGTGAGACTTACATATTCTACTCAGTTTTTTTTAATTTTGTAGATTTTAAATAAATATGGTTCGTACAAGGTTACCAATTAAGATTAAGATTTAAATCTGTATACAATTTATGTGTCAAATTTTTAAGAAAGTATTTTAATGTGTAGTGATATTAGTATTTTAAATTTGTAATCCATTTTTATTCCTTGTTCGATCCACTGGATGATATTCCTTCAAATTTGTACATGCTATAGTTATTTATGTGTAGTCAACTAGTGCATAAATATGTAGATTAGGATAACGACAAGGTCTAAATTATTTATGTCTGGATAAAGATGTTTAACTAAATATGTAAGTGAATGATAATAATATTTAAAGAATCTGTTAATCAGCTAGAAGCAGAAAAGTTTAATGTGGTTGTTCGATTAAATAAGCAAGAAGTAAGTAAGTACTAAATGTTTGTCTTATTATACAATTGAATTTGCAACTGAATTGCAAATACCGAGTTTGAAGTTCTTAATTGTACAGTTACATAATTGTCCGCTTTGTATCCTACAATTTTAAGTATGATTCAATGTGAGCATTTGTGCATTAATTTATTTAGATTATGCAGGTATTTGTAGCCGTTTAATATTTATCTACATGTTTACATGGTTACTGTCGTTCGTATCATGAATGTTGTTTGTGCGTCTTATAATTATTTTAAAGAATTTCATAAGTAAAGTCAAAGATTTTGGTGTGAAGTTTTAAAATGATTGAAAAACAAACTAAAAAAACGGTTTCTTCCATAAAAAACAGTTATAGTTTTCTTCCTAAAAAACTGGTATCTGTAATTCCATGGTTTAATTAATGGTAAAAATAAATGTCTATTATTTAAAAAAAATATGGGTTTATTAACATTACATCCGAACAATTTTCTGGATCGCAAGTGTTACGAGGCTTACTTAAGATAAGAGTAACAATAATGTAAATATGGAATTTCGAAAGAGAAAAAAATTGATTTTTGTTAAGATTGGCATAGTTTATAGAGGTGATGTTTGTGAGTGCAACGGTACCAATAAATAATTTGGTTCGGCCCCGCCCCTTTCCCTGGGGGGAGGGGTAGAAAGCTGTGAGTCGATAGCCTAATGGTTAGAGAGCACGGTTGCGAACCGAATGGACCAGGGTTCGAATCCTTGTGGCAGCGGTTTTTCCCGAATGGGTTTTTCCGGCCAGTGTCGCAATCGTATGGGGTCGGGGCCCCCTCACAGTGCGTGGTGGGGGAGTGCGGACTAGTGGCTGCACCTTGGGGTCCCCCCACCACATAGTTAGGTTCTCCCTACGTAACAACCCGTGAAAAATGGGAGGTAGAGTATGAGGCAAAAAAAGCTAAAAGTACAAACGGGACGCGGATTTCTCTATGATGGAAAAAGATATCGAAATTCTACTTTCACCCAAGGATTACTAATTACCAAAGATTACTTGTTAAAAAATTTTTCTTGCAAGCCAGGTCTTCAAATTATGCCTATACTTTTCAAGCATCAGTTCCTTAAGAAGACTGGGAGTAACATTAAGGGACATCACAATTTTAGAATTTGGTAGGAAGGGTAGTGCATAGAATTTAATATGTGTAACATGGACAAGACACACATAAATTAATAGCCTTGCTTTCTGTGGAGAAACGTCACCCTATTCAATATCACCCGGGCTGAGATTCCACCCGAAAATATGTATAATACAGCCAATACAGGTAAACTTCCATAAGCCAAGGGCGAAAATTTATTTTTAACCAAATATTCGTCGCACAACCTAAATTTAAAAAGGCACAATCAAGCAGAGTATCTATTGGACAAAAATAATCATTTAAAATAAAGATATCCCAAGTTGAATTTTTTAAACAGCATATAATTTTATTAACCAATTTATCTATTTAGTTCTACAATTTAGGTATTTTGAACGTCAGGCTGACGTTGCGTTTTTCAATTAACCCAACAAATTGCCAAATCCCGAAAGACTATTACGGGGAGACTCAAGTAATCCAGTTAGCGGTGATTCATAACCGATTCGTCTAATTCTGCCATACGCTCCACCAAGCACCGGAGGAACACTTTGTACCAAAGTGGATCCAAATATCCTCTTCTCAATACAAGTCAGTGTTTCCGGCACGTTTTTACCACAAACCTTATCTCGATCGTTAGCCCGGATAAGAAAATCCACCGTGATGACGCCAACCAATGTAAGTTTACAGCGGACGAGGAGATGTCTACAGAGCAACTTTTCTCTCGTAGCATCATCCAGACACGAAGCTATTCCGGCGCCACAAACCCGCTCAATTTGGCTCGTATTATTCAGCAGGACTCCAGCAAATGTCGCATTTTCAATCATCTTCTCACACCTAGCGAGGCGAGGCGCGCAGATAAAATTTCGAATTTCGCTATTACTAAGACACGTCGTGATTTCCGCTCCGCAAAGTTTTGGAACATCAAGCTCATTCCGGACAATGGATTCGCTACTGTTTTGAATCAGTTTGGTACACTGGCTTACGAGTGCGGGACAATATATGTTCGTAATTCTGTAATCCGGCAGGCATTTGACCGCTTCGGTGCCACAAAGTTGTGTCACGTTGTCCCTACTTGTGAACAATTTGCCAGCTATTGTAGCGTTCTCTACCGATTGAAGACAACGAGTTGCTAGTCGGGGGCAGTACAGGTCGCTTATTTGGGCATTACTGAGGCATTCGGCTGTGTGAGTTCCGCACAGGGTGACTATATCTTGCGAATTTTGGGGCACAGTCCCATTTGCGGTGGCTTTGTCAACTGTGGTAATGCAGTTCCCAATTACGTCGTCGCAGCAGTACCCTCTCCATTTTGAATTGGTCAGATCGCCGCTGCATAGTCCAGTCTTGACAGTATCGGAACAGTCTCGCCACGCAATACCGCATTGGTATCGCGCTCCAAATCCGCCGTCGGGATTACAACTGCTGACAGCATTACGGCATTTACAGGCGAGATAGTCCTGATACTCCTGCGCCGTCAAGCCTCGAACACATCGGCATTGCACAACGGCATGCGGGACTTCGTAAAACTCACGAGTGAAGCCGTCCGGACAGGTCTCATAGAAACCACTACATTCTTCCTCGTATCCGTCGCGGACACACGTTTCGGCATTGATTCCTGGAAAGGGAAAAATTACGTGGTAAAAGAATTTAAAATATTTGAGCCTAAATATTTATAATAACTAGAGTTAAATTTGAAATCACGCAATTGGTTGAGTATATTTTACCTAACCAGATTTTAGTTAAATTTAGAGTTACTCAATCAGTTGTACCATTTCAAATTATACGTAGGTAAATTTATTCAGTGTGGTAAAAAGGTATTTAATTCGGAAAAATTTTACGTTCGAAAAATGTAGAAAGTATGTACTTAAGAAATATATTTAAATAATTCTCCACATATTACCATGAAACCGGAGTAGATGTACGAGACCAATTGCTATGAAACTTTTGAGAAACATCGCAATTTTAAATTAAATTTCGAGTTTTCAATAAAATTTCACAATATTTTCAGCTATGTACAAGTATGTATAAGTTCCAATTGGATTCAACAAAGGAAAACTTGTGAATGATTAAAAGCGAATGAATTGTGGGATGGATGTCTCCTGGTTTTATTTGGAGAAGGCCGTGATCTTGAGTTAATTTACACCCGACAAATTAAACCTGTCAAGTTCTTACGTGCCACATTAATTTGATTGAATGGCAGGTGACAAAAGCAATTATTGTTTTTTATAGGAGAAATAAAGTTATTCAGATATAACGGACGTCATTCTCAGTTCATTATTCGGCTATTATGTATTCAGTTACTTATTAAGTAAGATTCTTGTAGCAAGAACGTACATAATAAGGAAAAGCGTACAAAATGCATATATGTATGTATGAAGATCCCGTACTTTTAAACGCAATCAGGCATGTGTTATTAACTTAAATTTTTGTATGTCTGCACATATATCATTTTTTGCACACCGACCTCCAAAGTGCAGATTCGCTAATTTTTTTTAGTTATTTATTAGCTCACCCTGCGTAGCACGGGAGCTATTGAATTCCTCTTGTCCGTCCGTCTGTCTGTCTGTCTGTTAACGAGTTTTTTGCATGAATTGATGCTAATTAAAAATCCCCTTCACAATTATTGATTATGTTAGGCGCACCATTGGTATTGAACAAACTGGATCGAATTTTTTTAGTAAATAAATAGCACAGTTGATATCTAACAATCGGTAACACAAAATGATGCGAAATAATTGGGGGATGGGATGCAAAACGCACCAATAGTACAGAATATCCGGGAGAAATGATCATACAATTTTGACAAAGTTTTCAAAATTATATAACCCGAATGGTCGCTAATTCTGCACTAATGGTGCAATGGTGGGCCGAATTTTTTGCACCATAAACGGCATATATATAATGAATATATAAGAGTTGTGATCTATTTTGTTGGCTTATTCCGCACCTTCGGTGCAAAGTTCTGTCTCAATCATTATGACAGGGTGAGCTACTTCTAACGTTACTACGGTTTATTTATGTATTTATTCAAATGGAAATATGACAAGGTACAAGCAGGCCCCGTTCTAGGCAATGTGGCGCCCTAGGCAAGAAAATAATGGCGCCCCTACGTACTCGCACCGTCGACGCTCGAAAACCCTTTTACGACAGCTTACTATATAATTGTGCACAAAATTGCATTTGGCACTAATTACATGTATACAAATCAGCATTTTTTTAGATAGATACGTTTAATTAAATATTTTTAATTCCTGAAAAAATAATTGACTATTAATATGGCACAGAAGCCTCATTAAGATTTGTCACCTTTTGAGGCTTTGCACATTCTAAATTAAAATTGTACTAACAATAGTGGGGTGCAACATGGTTATTTCCGAGGTTGACGCGACTCACAATGAGGAGGTGTGAGATGATTATTGCCGATATCGACCGGACTAATTTTAAATTGAGCACGCTCAGAATTAAGTGGACCCGCATTTTTGGGTTTTCCTGAATGGGCATGTTTACGCCCGTGGCGGAATAAAAAAAATTAGCCAAAACCCGGATTTTTAAAACGCTGTCACTTTTCGAATTTTAACCCGATTTCAAAAGTTAAACACAATTTTTGCTCAGAATAACTTCTCTGAAATTGTAAAAATTAATTTTTTAAAATTTCAAAAATATTATATCTTCATGCCATTTCTGAATTTTATAAAATGCATTTATAAACTTTATAAAAGTTATTCTGAGCAAAAATTGTGTTTAGCTTTTGAAATCGGGTTAAAATTCGAAAAGTGACACCGTGTTAAAAAACCCAGAGTTTGGCTGAATTTCTTGTTTGAAAATTCCGCCACGGGCGTAAAAATGCCCATTCAGGAAAAGCAGACATACGTGTCCACTTAATTTTGAGCGTGAACAATTTAAAATTTGTCCGGTCGATATCGGCGATAACCACCTCACGCCTCATTGTAAGTTTAAATTGTTTACATTCACAATGCGATGGTGTGAAGTGTAACACTACGATTTGGTTGAAATATCGAAATTGTGAGATCCATGTCAATACAAACAACGTTTATTGAGGCAGTTTGTGCGATGGTCTGAATCTGCCAAAATATTTGAATTTAAAGTTAAAAAATTGTGAAGTTTTTAGCACGGGAAGAAATTGGAAGTTGAGTTTGCTTCCTCCGCCTGGTAAAAATCGCCCGTTTTACAACTTCGAACTGAAATATTTTGACAAATTCTGACTATCGCACAAACTGCCTCAATAAACGTTGTTTGTATTGACATGGATCTCACAATTTCGATATTTCAACCAAATGGTAGGGTTAAACTTCGCACCATCGCATTATCAGAAATAAGTAGTAACATTTTTTGTTTTGTAGAATCTGCGGGATTACGTGTGTGGCAAAATTTTAGATTAAAACTACACCCAGTATACGGATTTTTCAAAAACGTTTTTCAAAAACGAACGTCATTTTTCCAATTTTACCCGATTTAAGAAATTCAGCACGCTTTTTGCTTAGAATTTGTTCTCTGAAATTATAAAAAAATATTTTTTTTTATATGTAGTTGATATTTTCATTCTAGGAGTTTTTGTGAATCTTTAAAGTGGCAAAAAATGCTCATGTTCTTTAAATTATAAGTTTTTAAAAACCGAATTTTATAATTTCAGCTAAGCAATTCTAAGCAAAAGTTGTGCATGATTTTTAAATCGGGTTAAAATTTGACAAGTTAGAGCGTTTTAAAAAATTCAGAGTTTGCCTGCCAAATTATATTAAAAAAATCAAAATAATTGCATTCAAGGAAACGCAAAAGTATAAATATGTTTGTGCTAATTTCCGAGCCTGAACAATCTAAAAATGGTCAAGATTGGAGGTAACCACTTCACACTTCTGCATCGTAAGTGTCATGAAAAATTGTGGTTTATTAAATAAGTTAAATGGAAAGTTTAGCTGGCAAGATTTTCAAGTTAAAATTTCTTAATAATACTTACAAATAAAATTTTGTAGTACAGACTCCAGTGAAAGTCTATTTTTAAGTTATTTTCCGCGACAAATTATAAAATTCTGCAAAGTTGTTTTTATCTAGTGCATAGGGGCGCCGGCTGGCGCCCCTCCAAAATCTGGCGCCCTAGGCGGTTGCCTAGCTCGCCTATACCTAAAACGGGGCCTGGGTACAAGTTCCAGATTTTGAAGCATGCACAATCATTTTGATGCATCTATGTATGTACTTATTCATTCTCTGGAATGTTGTATTCACATAATTAACATTTTTCCCGTTTTTTTTCAATAATTTTTATCATCATCTGCTATTTATCATGTTTCAATAATTCTAAAAGAAGTTGATGATTCATATCTGGAATGGCTTCATCTTCGATAAGGCAAGGGCATACATATTTACTCTTCACAAAGTTTTTCAGAAATTTAAAATTTTGCGAAACTACATAGATACCAGACTCAAGGTTCCCCATGAGCATAATTTGGGGAAAATTGAGACCAATTTAAGTGTAGTTTCTCAATATTCTCGATTTCTGTAAAAGTCCAAACCTGCGTGGAAGAGGTGCATTTCACATTCATTTATTTAACAGGGAACGAATAAATTATTCATTTACTTATTGTTCAACTAATTTAAGAATAATAAGTAAACCTTTATTTTTTCAAAATTTCTGAACCCATGAATATTAAATAAATATTTATTCACTTCATATTCATGAAAAATTAATATCGAATTCTTTTATTCACTTGTCATTTTTCATGCTACATACTTACAAACTCTGCAGATCAATCACTTGGCACACGTAGCACTTCACAAATCCTTACCTTACGTAGTTAAGTATTTAGTGGCAGATTGTTTTATAAATTACTTGGAATTAGATAAGTGTATTACACATACATACATAGTATATATCTGCATATCGGATTACATTCATTTCAACGAAGATTTAGGTACATTACTTTACAGTACGATAAAACGAAAGAGCTGATTTTACATACATACATATGTACACGTTGTTCAGGAACACGTGTTCGTTGCTAAATCTAAATACGACTTAATACATAAATCTGATTTTCTTGGAAATTATGTATGTATTTACATGTTGTACGCATTTGTTGAACTTTGCCATTTTTTGGCAGCCACACATAAACCGTATAAAACCAGGTGTTGTTACTTTACCCCTAATCAGTCTTCATTTGATTACCAACCTCTTTAACTCAGCACAATTTGATACCCTGGATATTTTCTCGTATTTGCAAAATTATAACTCTCGAGATGTACAGGGGAAGTAAGTTTGCCAAAAATTTTATTGGTGCTAATTGGATTTAGCTATTTTTGTAAAAAGTAATGTGTGTCTTTAACTAAAATGTTTTTAATTACTATTTTTCTAGGTTTAAAGTTGCGAATATTACTTACCGTGGTATTTTCAGTGCTTCTAAATGTACCAGTGGATGGGGGAACGCACAATTCCGGTTTCGCAATTAGCCTGGCTCACGCTAAATCGGGGGGAGTTCATGCAAATGAGAAACGAGACTCGGGTAAAATTAGTTTTGAGGCGGGGGACATAATAGAATGAAATAATTCCGGTAGCAGATCACATCCTTCTGGCCTCTGGGTCGGATCGGGTTATCCACATTGTTCGAGAAGGGTCTGATAAGGCAAGTGCATACACTCACAGAAAAATCGATACCGAATTGACACCATGCCGGTGTCTATATATGACTCTACCGGTTTGGTGTCAAATTGACACGGTGCGGTGTCAATTATGTTGCACACCGCTGCGGTGTCAACCCAACATGCCGTTGTGACAATACCAACACCGCGAATGGAAAAGAGGTTGTGCTCAGTTATGTTGATTCGACACTGCTAGGTAACATTATATGTGTATTTTAATACATGAATGTCACCACCTGGTGACAAATTGTTCCCGGATTGTGACAACTGAAGTACAACTTTTAGTAACAGATGTTTTATTTTACATTCAATAATATTAATCACTTACAAAATTAATCAAGTATTTCAAACATATTCACAAGCAACAAATTATTACACTCGCACAAATTAAATACTACTTTGTGCTTCATACCTTAATGCACTTTTAAAGAAAAAGCTTATATGTTTTTAACACGGTGATGGTCTAAAATATGAGTAAATCTTTCAGTTAAATTAACTTAGCAACAAGATATTTAATAATAATTAAATAGGTTGCCGGTTGGACAAATCCTTATTCGTCACTTTTGGCTCCCTCGTTGGGTCCATCGTCGAATTTTAGCTGTACTGGAAACAATAAGTTTTGAAAAATAAAAATACACACAGTAAAATAATTTTAATTAAATGAGGGCAAATTAATGTGCTACATATATTGACTCACCTAAGTCAAGAAATTGGAAGTACTTTAGATGTCCTTAAACTTATTAAAAAACAATTTTTCCCTCGAAATCAATTGAGCACACCAATTAATTTATCCATTTTGTTGACTTTTCGTGGAGGAGGAAGGAAAATGGCCGCCAAGCAGACCCGTCCATTGCGAAGAGACTGACACAATTTGGTGTAAAGTCCAAGTTTTGCTTACTGCGGTAACATCGCACGGTGTCAATTCGACATCATTTCAAGATATCGCTGATTCCGGTAGGGTGTCAACGCATTATTCTTCGTCAGTGTCAATTTTACACAACATTTTGTCACCATTTAATGGAATTGACGTTGACACCGACGGTTGGTGTTAACGAACTTTTGGGTTTTGTTACCAAGTTGCTAAGAGTGTACCCTTCATTCACAAACAGTTGAACCTTTTCAGAAATTTAGAATTCTGAGAAACGGGCTGCGTCAAAGTTCCCCGTGAGCATAATTTGAGACTGGTTTTAGTTCAGTTTTTCAGTATTCTCAGTTTCTGCAAAAGTTCAAACCTGCTTGGAAAGATAGTATGTGTTCATATTTATTTATTTATTTGAGAGTAAATAAGCTATTCATTTATCATTCTACAAATTTATGAATAATGGGTAATAATTTTTTCCATTTTTTATCCAAGAAATAACAAATAAATATTCATTCAATGAATGACATTCATTTCATATGCATGAAGAAAGAATGAATGGATTATTTTATTCATTTGTCAGTTTTCATGCTATGCTAAATGCATTAGGCATATTGAGAAGTCCATCTAATAAGAGGAATTTAGAATAAAATGAATAGACAATGATTAACGAATAAATATTTACTCACAAATTTTAAATAAATGAGTAATGAATGAATAATTTTTTGAATGAATTTTGAATGAATAAATGTTTTTTGAACAGGCCCGGATACAAGAAGACTATTGGTCAACTGTAGCCGATAAATACAAGAAATGTAAAACGTGCACCTCACAATTTAACCGATTTATGAAATCCGCCTTCAACAAGAGTCCACGTTCCGGAGCGGTTGAACGGGCCCGAGCCGATATCTCCCGGGGTCTCGAATACTACAACGTTGTGAATTGTAATTGTGAACACTGGGTGACTTGGTGGGTTTATGGGAAACCTTGGAGCATCCAGGCAGGTGGAACGAGCCGAAGTTGTCCGATATGATTCCAGTAAAAAAATTATGGGGACGCAAGCCAGACTATTTTTGACTATTTAATAATGTGAAAGTTTGAAGTGTAAACCTCAGGAAATGTTGGAATTAAATAAATAATATAATAGATTCAACGTTACTTTTCCCAAAACAAGGCAGGTTTCGACCTGTTGCTATTAATTAGTTTTTATTAATCCAAATACTTGTTTTTATAATTACATTTTTTCAATTTGCACTTAATTAATCGGTACATTTCCAAAAATTCAAGTAGAATTACATATTACTAAATTAAATTAAGAACGCATCCATATTGAAATAATTTCAATCTCTCGGAATAAATTTAAGCCTGATATCGGTCCCAACGCTGTATCCAAGCATGTCTTTCTCCATCTTGGCCGGAATTGGGGTCCCGGCGGATGGTCTGATTTCGAAATTTCGCACGATATGTGCCAAAGCTACTTTCGTCTCCACCAAGGCAAATCGCATCCCTAGAAAAATTAACCAATTAAATTCTACTATAGAGAAAAAAATATAGAAGATATCCAAAGGGTGTTGATTTAATTCGGCCCGATTTGTTTGGGAGTCCAAAAAAATACGAAAATTAGGGCAAAGTCGAAGGAAAGGGTTAAGGGGATGATTAGTCTAAAGACTAATTTGGAAAGAAACTCTGATTAAAAAATTGGCATCAGAGTTTTCACCATCTTTTATCTACGTACATGACTTCAAATATTAACTCAAAAAACCGGGACAAATTAAATCAACACTGTTTAAATCCAGAGTAAATTAAATTTAACGCTACTCTGTTGTTCGTATAGATTACTTAATCCATAAGGAACTCAGAGTACATATATAAATTTACTTATTAAAAGGGTCACATAATTTCTAAAAAAAATACTATTTGTCATAAATTCATTCATACCGATACAACTTCTCGGCCCGTTTCCGAACCCCATGTACGCGTAGGGACTTCTTTTCGCCTTATTTTCCTGACTGAATCGGGTCGGGTCAAACTTGAAGGGATCTGGAAAGTACTGCTCGTCCTTGTGAAATGCATCCGCTGGCACGGCTATCACAGTCCCCTTTCGAATTAGTCTCGCTCTCCCGCCCTTTCCCACGTCCGGTAATGCGCACTCCGTAGTGCACACTCTGTCCAGCCTCGCTACCGAGGGGTAAAGGCGGAGAGTCTCTGGTAAAATAGTAAATACATTTTAATTAATACGCGCTTTGGACTGCTTTCGCTACACTTCATAACTTGGCAAAGTTTTATGAACTGGATAATTTCAGCAAAATTTTGAAAGGGCATTGTATACGACTAAGAATTTCCCTAGGATTTCACGACTTTGAGGAATATACCTCGGGTAATGTTTAATGACGACTTACTTATTACATAAATCATGTTTAGGCTCTGAAAATTTATCTTAAAATTCTGGATGGCAAAATTATTTATCTATGGACAACAGGTCGTTCCCAATTTGAAAAAAATATACACTCCAGATTTTAAAACTTTCTGAAGAAGGACATATCAAGTTTAAGAAGCCTTCAAAAAAATAGGAACTGGCTTAAGAAACCTACAGCTCTTTTATTCATCAATTTACTGGCTAAAAGTTTGTTGCCCAGAATTTAAAATTAAATTCCCAGAGGGGGCAAATGATTTAAAAAAATGCAGATTTCGACGATCTCAATGATCTCATCCCACGTTAAACCTTACCTGCCACGAACATATCAATGTACTCCATCCCATTAATTTCTTCATAGGAAATCGTGTCGTCCCCACTACTTTGCATGACCTTCTCCACCTCACGATACAGCTCCTCTTGAACTTCTGGATGCGTCGCGAGGACATAGCACGCCGCCGACAAATTATTCGCGATCGTATCAAATCCCGCCGCAATGAAGGCGAAAGCTTGCGGAATGGCGGCATCCTCGCTCCATACAATGTCACCCGCTTCCTTCGAATTTAGCGCGTCGACTAAACTCTGAAGAAAATCGTTGCCCCTTACCCCACTCTTTTGGCGGATGTTTATCGCGGTTGAAATCAATCTCCAGAAAAAATCGACTGCTTCGACATCTTCCATTTTCACGTTTAAAAATTTTGCCAGCTTGGGAAATTGTAGGACGAAAATCATCCTTATTTTGGCGGACATTGTGAGCGCAAAGAGTCGTCGGGCCATGGGAATTATTTCGTCGGAGGGGTGAAAAGAGTCGACTTTCAGTCCAAACGCGGCGGAGGTGATGACTTGCATGGAAAATTTTCGCATCGCTTCTACCACGGGCAAGTCGAAGTTGGTGGAGGACGAGGTTTTTTGCTGGTTTTTGATAAAAGCGGTCAAGTTGGCGGCACTCCTGAGGAAAGAAAGCACAATGTAGTAGTCAAAGTTCGACTTAATTTATTCGATTTTCAAAAATTCAATTAATCGAACGGCAAATTAAAAAAATTTCGTAATCTAAAACTTCATAAATTGTTGCATTCGTGTGGGAAAACATAATTAAGTACTTAAAGTTCGAACCAAATTTTCAAAAATTAATTTTATCATCTTCAAAAAACATTGAATCCCACATATTTTGAAAATTGATTAAGCTGATAAGCTATTTTAACCATGCAATTACTATGAACGTGGGGTTACTAAAAAATGTTAAAAAATTAATTGACCACAATATTTCAAATCTCAAAATCTAATCTAATCCAATCTCTAGCTCTAATTCTAATCTAAACTCTAATCTAAGCTCTAATCTCAAAATTTATTACGAATATGAAAATACTTACTTTTCAAAATGTGAAAACATGTTGCGAATCCGTCCCGATGTAAAAGTTGGGCTTAAAAAGGACCTCATATTTCTCCAATTCTTCCCCATCAAACCGAATAAACTTCCGTTAAAGATTTTGTTCCCTTCTCCAAACGGAGGTCGGTCCGTGAAATTGTCGAAATCCTGAAATTTAAGAGATTTCCAAAATTTTGAAACACACGAAATTTTTTAATCAAGTCAGTCTCATGATTGGAAATCCAATATAGCAAAATACCAAGTCGTATTCACACGTACGATTTGGAGAAAGTAATAATGATAAGTAATAATGCGTATTAATAGATCGGTATTAAAAGTTTACCACATCAGTATTAAATTTTAACCGACCCGTGCAATGTTAATACCAAGAAATAAATGGCCTCTTTTCTACAGACAAACTTTACACGGAGGGATTTGTGCAGAAAATTATGCACATCTATAAAGTAAAACCTATAAATAATTCATGCTGAATTATGTAACATAAAATTATGCAAAATATCATATGCATGAAATTTTTACTAACTACTGCAGAATTCTACATCAATCAATTTCCATAAATGTCCAAATTCTCCTCTTAATCTCACCTTAATCAAAATATCTCTCACGACATCCAAATCTCTCACGATCAGGATCGGCGTTCCCAACTCGGTCACCACCCCGCACGATTCCCCCCTGCGCCCCAACTCTTTATAATACTCGATATCCGAATCGGTCACGTTTCCTTTCCCTGTAAAAATGTCCCAGCCGGATATCGTCTCTTCCAAAATGGTAAATCCTTGCTGCTTCCAGTACGACAATTTATCCGCGTTTGAGTTTTTCATGAAACGCCTCAAAAACCAGGCGGTCACCAAGACCACGAGAATTCCAGGGATTACCCACATTGTGACTGTTTTTTAGCATAAAATTACTAATGGTACACTCTTAGCAAACTGGTATTAAATTATTACACGGAGGAGTGGATAAATATGATTCTATCGGTACGGAAATAACAAGTATTTATTACGGTTCAGTAATGTTCTGATAATGAAAAATTTACTACTCAGAAACAAACCAATCGGGTAGTAAGTTATTACCAAATCGATACCAGTAGATATTACACTGCCAGATTTTTAACGGCGTACGAAGAACTTACTTGTCACGTTGCGAATGACCAAATGGACTGGGGACATGGATTGCATCAATCATTTAAATACGTACAACTCGACAAAAAAGTGGTGGAGGACTTTTTTTTGCTATGAACCCCCTGAAACATTTTTATTAAGATTTTGATAAATTATAATATTAGCCAGTGAAGTACGTCCAAACAACGCAAAAAATGTGTGTTAAAAAAATCCATATGCCAAGGGTGCCTCTGAGGGACTTATTACATCTTTTACACATATCCCTTCATTGTGCGACAACAAAAAGTCGTAAAAATATGGGGTTTGGATATTTTTAATCCAAATGCGATTGTCTAAAACGAACTTCAGTAAGGAGTCGCTACGTAACCTTCTTGACCTAAAGTTTGACCTCTATAAAAATTAAGTTTTACCGTTTATTAGCATGTCAATTTTATCGCAATACATGTAAATTTAAAAGGTCAAACTTTAGGCCAAAAAGGTCACGTAGCGACTCCTTACTGAAGTTCGTTTTAGACAATCGCATTTGGATTAAAAATATCCAAACCCCATATTTTTACGACTTTTTGTTGTCGCACAATGAAGGGATATGTGTAAAAGATGTAATAAGTCCCTCAGAGTTACGCTTGACATGTGGATTTTTTTAACACGCATTTTTTGCGTTGTTTGGACGTACTTCACTGGCTAATATTATAATTTATCAAAATCTTAATAAAAATGTTTCAGGGGGTTCATAGCAAAAAAAAGTCCTCGGTGATGATTTCAACCTTGTTACTTTTGCAGACTCTTCATCTCTGCCAAATAACACGGCGTAAACTACGATGCAACTATGGGACGCTGCGTAAAGTATGTGCCAGACTTTACCCAAGTCTTCTTTATCAGTAAGTCGTATACCACGTGTCAAAATTACTATCAAAATCGGATACCGCTTTGAAGCAAAAATGTACATATTTTCCATGCACGGCCCTCACGTGTGTTACAACAAATACGATTCCTACCCAATGCCCTTTTAAAGAGAGAGATACATCTGGAAACGACTCATGTACATATCGTTCTTGCCTTATTACATGCCATGTGTGTATGTATGTACATACTTTATGTGTTTGCATAATTTTACGAATGCATATTTTGCATAAGCGCTTATCTGTACAGGAACAATACAATTATGGGAATCATGCTCAAAGATGTGGCTGATTTAATCCTTATCTCCATGGCAGAAAATTGCATAGGTCGTGTCGAGATTTAGATGGAAATCACATGTAACATAGATATGTTTTCAAACCAAAATATACGACATATTGCATGCACGGACCCTGTGTGTGTTATAAGTAATACGATTCCTACCAAACGCCCTTTCAAAGAAGAGATGTATGTATATGTACAAAAACGACTCTACATATTAGCAAACTCTTCATTTCCAGTTAAAGGTGGGCATACGTATGTATTCTCTAATTGTATTTCCAATTTAAACTTGATAAAATCAAAAGTTTTCTGTAGTTTTTAACTCAGGTGAAATTCAACATTTTTAATTCACGTCCTATTTAAAAAACGGTTTTAGATTTCACTTTATTTCAAACTTTCGTAAAACCGCTTTGCCACAATATTTTTAAAAGTTTGTAAAACTCATCTATGTAGTAGAATTGAAAAATATGGCAAGCATAACAAATTAATAATAATCATAAACATTCTGGCGTGAAAACTAAAACCTAAATGATTACAGTAATGTGATTGATCCAGAATTAATCACGTTATGAAAAAGTATGAAAAAATACATACAAGCGCCCCATCACATAATTAATTAAGGAATGAGGAGCTAAACGTTTTTGGAGAGTTTTTCCCAACAATTTGGACTCTTTTTCCATTGGTTTCTAGGAATTCCATGAACTTGCAAACTTGACAACGTCCGAGTGAGTTAGAAATTTAAATTGTTAATCCTTTAGTGTTTGGTCACTCTTCCATTAATTGCCATGGCGTAGCCTTCCAGAAAACTGTCAAAGCGTGATATCGATTCGTACTTTTTGATATGGCAAAGTTTCAACATGCCTAACTTAATTTGAAGAATGCGATCTATAATTGAGTAAGTTACCTAGTAGAAATCTAATCCCCCGCACGAGATTTAATTAAAAATTTATTTCTGAATTTATACCACACGTTGATTAAACCAATTTAATGGTTTCGCAATCCTCTCGTTAAAGTGGATGCAAAAAGAGCCCTGTAAAAGATTTATTTGGCATAGTAAATTATAAAATTCAGAATAAGAGAGGAATGTCAGCCGTCAGGTTTAAGAAATTAATCAACTTCATATATACCTGTCAAATTGCCGTCGCATTATAAATTGGATCCGATCTTCCGCTAGATGTGTGTATGAGAATTTCGTGAATCTGTACTAACGTACGAGTAAAACTCACCAATAGTGAAATTACGAAGGGATATGAACTTCAGTTTTTGATTTTGGTATATTTACTGGGAACAAATGCTTATCCGTGAAACTGTAAGTGTGGGTCCACTTTTCAACACAATCGACTAACTCGAACGTACCGGCGTTAAATAAATGCATGCAACAGTTTAAACAAATAAATATCCGTTCACGTATTTATTCCAATATTCATTATTTACACAAATGCGACGTCGATCTGTCAGATTTGACCATTTCATAAAAGTCTGATTTTAAATTGAGTAAATTATTTATCGTGTCAAATTCCTTTATGTGGCCATCCTTGAGAACCATAATCCTGCAAAATAAAAAAGTAAGTTATATTAATTTAGAAACTAATATTAAAACAGTGCCTCACCTGTCACAGTCAAGCAAAGTTTTGATGCGGTGTGCCACAATTAGAACGGTACATTCCCTAAATTCCTCTTTCACAACGTTTTGAATGACATGCTCAATATTTTTATCGCAATGCGCCGTAACCTCGTCAAGTACTAAAAATTTTGGCCTCCTTAGAATTGCACGCGATAAACAAAATAATTGTTTATAACCAGACCTGCAATTTTTTTAAGTTGTAACAAAAACAATCTAGCTTGTACACTCTTAAAAATTATTTTACCCACTTGAAAAATAAATGCACTCTGAATTCGATCTTAAGCAAATCATACTAAATCCAGCGCGTCGTCAATTTTACAAAAATGCTCTTACAAAATATAGTATTGTATACATATGTAATACAGAATTTAGAGTACATTTACTTTTTGACAGGGTAAGATTATTTTTCAGAGTGTAATCCTGACTTAAGCCTTTTGGTTACGTTAGCTTTGCATCGTCCGGAGTTACTTGAAAATATAGGCCCATATTTCACTGTCGGTATAACAATCTAACGGATCCAAATTAAACCGGAGAGTGCCAGAAAAAAACGTAGGCTCCTGTAATTAAAAACGCAGTATATCATGAAAATATACAGCTAAAAATCTGATGTGTTGACTTACTTGAGGCACCATGGCCATCTTAGATCGCAAATAATTCACCGGAATTTTTGCAATGTCAACTCCAGACAGAGTTATATTTCCCTTTGTTGCTTCTATCATTCGAAATATTGCCATTAAGAGGGACGACTTCCCAGCCCCTGTTCTGCCAACTTTGGCAGAGCAGAAATAATCGTATTTAAATTGTTGACAAATTTTTAATCGTTTCTTTAACAGTCGTCTCACCAATTCCAACCTGAAATAAATGAGAAGATAAAAAACTTGTACATATTTTTTTAATGAAATTAACAATATATTCACATAAATTTCAACTGTAAATACTTTTTCTCCGCTCCTTATCACAAAATTATCAATTTGTAGTACAGGTTGAGGATTTTTTTCATACTGGACTTAATTTTTCATAAGTCTTTTGCGATTAATTCCCCACTTTCTGGCCATGAATTATTAACTATGTCGTCAGGATAGGCATAGCCGCCTCCTTCCTAGTTTAAGGATTAGAATTTCTTGAAAAAGTAAGGTTAATAAAAAGTAATTAAATTTATCACCTGCGGAATTGACGTCAAGTTTACTACTCTTTCCACAGCCACAATGTTGGATTCGAATTCACCCGTCAGCTTTACAAAATAATTTAATAGCTGGGTAATCTGCAAGGCGGAAGATAACGATAATGCTACGACGGATGGGCTTAAGGTTTCCTTTGAGATTATGGCAAACATGCAGGTTCCCAACACTATTAGCGTCCCAAGAATATCCAATCTGGCCTTACTCCATCTGTTTTGTTTTAAATTTTTGTTACAATTGTGTATATCAAAAATGCATTGCAAAATAGTTTATTTTGTAACGCACAACGTTGCACTCATGTATAAAAAGAAAGCCTTGTTGTTCTCCAAAAGGGTTTTCTGAATTTCGCCCATAATCTTATCTTGCAGTTCAAAAGCTTTTATGGAACATAAACCCGTTAAGGCTTCCAGGACTAGGCTGTAAAGTGGAGTTCTCGTGCATGCTTCATGTCTCCTCAAATTCGTCGCTGTGACGACGTAGAATCTCTGCGAATTGTTTATTACAAATGGCCATAAATTGGTAAATATTTAGTTCTTACCTGAAGAAAGTAGTACATGATAGCGAGTGGAGCTACAAATAATAGAAAAATTGGCGTGGCTTAACACGTCGTGAATATTGCGCTTAATAAGAGGAGAAAGTTAAGTATGGTGGCTTGTAGATTTTGAGGAAAGATTGACTCCAAAATATCAAAATCTTTTGATACAACATTTAGCAGTTGTCCCACCCCAATCCGATTTAATCCGGTTATCTCTCCGTTAAGAATTTTTAACGCCATGATGTCATGTAAATTCCTGGATGCAGTGATGGAGAAATTATAAATGGCCAGGCAGCCAAGAAGTGAGAAAATGGCTGAAAGGTAAAATCCAAAATTAGAAAATTCTACATAATTGTTAAATCAATTAATAAATAGCACTAAATACCTTGGATAAGGCACCGGCACTCAGGATATACCGGCACTCAGGATGAGTGCCCTTGACGGAGATACAGCGAGTAAAGTCTATGATCAACTATTAAGCTCTCGTGGCCTATTAAAAGGGACGACTAGAATTATTGCAACGCATTATAACGATTTGATTGCGGAGGCAGACATTGTGATAGAATTACAGAACGGGGCAATAAAATCTGTCGGTCCAGGTCGAGGTGTTTTCATACAAGAGCGTCCCCTATCAAACCACCGTGATGATAAACTTTGCAGTACCGATGCGTTCCCAGGGCAGATTAGAGAAAACAATTTATCAGATAATGATCTACCGGCAGAAAAGTGGTTATATGTGCGAGAAGGAGGCCTAAAAGGCTGCGCACTTGGAGTGACATTGGTTGTTTTTTCAGCTGGTAATAAATTTAGATATTGACAAATTTTGAAGACAACCTTTAAATAATGTAAATGAAGTAATATTTGTTTAGCTGCATACACATTTTCTAATGTTTGGTTATCAATTTGGAGTGCACAAGATGAAAAGGACCAAGAACAAACTGGGACAACCAACATTGCAATTTATAGCACAATGGGACTTATCCAAGGTATTTAGTGCTATTTATTAATTGATTTAACAATTATGTAGAATTTTCTAATTTTGGATTTTACCTTTCAGCCATTTTCTCACTTCTTGGCTGCCTGGCCATTTATAATTTCTCCATCACTGCATCCAGGAATTTACATGACATCATGGCGTTAAAAATTCTTAACGGAGAGATAACCGGATTAAATCGGATTGGGGTGGGACAACTGCTAAATGTTGTATCAAAAGATTTTGATATTTTGGAGTCAATCTTTCCTCAAAATCTACAAGCCACCATACTTAACTTTCTCCTCTTATTAAGCGCAATATTCACGACGTGTTAAGCCACACCAATTTTTCTATTATTTGTAGCTCCACTCGCTATCATGTACTACTTTCTTGATTATCTCCCGCCCTCACCCGTGTATAACAAAATATTTAATACATAAATGAATGTAAAAATTGAAACGGTTTCGACTATGCTAAGTAGAAACTACGACCCCGGTTTGAGTAAAAGTTTTCAACCGTTTGCGATCACCCCTCCTGAGTCGTTTAAAATAATAATTCAGTCGTCATAATTTTGTACTTTCATTTTAATACACAACTATGACAAATGTCCCGAATATCAGCTACCAACTTTTAAATAGCAACTCTTAGAAAGCGGTGTGGGTCACCCTCTGACTAAACTTTGCTGGCTTTTAATTTCACATGCTTTCATAAGAAGCTATTAAGTATCACCTTACCGAATTTGATCTTTTAAGGACAATTTCTAAAAATCGGTTTGTGCCACCGCCTAGGGGGGTCACTCCACATAAAAAATTTACCAATTTCGCTTCATATTATTTAAGTAGGAGCCATTAGCGACCATACATGGGCCAATTTCATGTAATCCAAGGTCCTGAATTTCAGTTAGTTACGTGTCTACATATGTAGACACGTATGATGTAATCTAATTACATTTAATCCAATTACGTAATTGGATTACATGTTAAAAATTAAAAATAATTGGTAATCGGTAATTGGGAATTGATATTTTCAACTTCCGAGATGAACTATAAAGACGATGATTTGCTTGAAAATAATTTATAGTTTTTCGGAAATCGGCAACATTGGTTCTCTTTTGAAACCTTTTTGAGCTTTTTATATACGAGCTGGAGAAATTTAAGGGCTGGAGATAATTAAGGGCTGGAGCTGGCCGGCTGGAGTTAATCAAGGGCTGGAAATGGTGGGGTGGACTCCCACGGGCTGGGGTCCGCGGGCTGTAGTTTTCCGCACACTATTTGAAACTCACGATCTGAAATTATTGTCGATTTGATGTAATTTTTATGAAACTGGAATTCCTCCAAATTCAGAAAATTATTAATTCTTTTTATACTAACGGATGATTGAGATAACAGCATAGCAAGGGCAGGTACTCTGATCATAAAAAAATGCCTTAATAAGCTTGATGAGTTAGGTTAAAATATTACGCTCAATATTGGCTTCAATTCCTTACGTTAAAAGTGGTACGGTGATAATATTTATGATCGACAATGCCGAAAACATCGTTCCGGCAGAGATTGTTTCCCCATCAAGCTGAGATTTGACTGCAAGGAGGACGATAAGAACAACGACGGGCGCCACGGTGAAAGATGTCACCATGAAGGCCATCCTGGTTAACGAGCTCCACATCGAGGTTAGTTCCGGTTGCCGGGCTAGTCCAATTTTGTTAATGAATGCTTCACTCCAAGCAAGAAGTTTAATAATCTATTTCTTATACATTTTCATGTATATATTATGAAAATTTCGTATATTATCTATTCAGGTGAGCAATTACCTTTAAATTTTGGATTGTTTCTGATACAATCTTTGTTCTTAAATCCTTCGCTATCATTTGCATCACTTGTAGGGTTTTTATCCCACTCATCAAGAATACGGTTAAGCAAACCAATATCAGAATTGTGGCAATGGCACCAAATGCCGAGTATCCAAATAGGTTATAAAGAAGATATGTAGCAACGATCGTTTGAATAGGTGTAATCCATAAAGTGTGCAAGAGTGGAATTACATCACATATCTTTTGTGAATCTGCTCCAATAATATTTAACAAGGTGCTTCTAGTAGAATCTAAAATTGTGAATTATTTTTTTGACTTTTACTTAACGCTGTTCTTTAATTGTACAAGAGTTACATTTCTTTCACAATTTTACCTGCCGATTCTATAACACTTAAGCGTAAAGATTTCTGAATTGCGATGGAATGGAGCATTGATCTGCATTTTATTGCTATTGAACTTACATTTCTCCAATAAAATAAACCTAAAACGTTTCTCGCAATTAATGATACAGTTAACGAGAAGACGTAGAAGTAATCTTTCCATGTCTCATCCTCTTTGGTTTCGGTAAAATGGGGGACCATTATTCTAAGAAATAACAAAGAATATTCGATCCAAATGTTTAATATTGTTGTTAAAAAAGATGTGGCAAAAACTTGGGGATTGTTAAGCAGCGAAGAGTTAGTCTTCAAGTCAACAGATAACTGTTGTTTTAGCTAACCTTAAAATTTCGCAAAGGATAAGATTTCTTGGCAAACACGTTGGAGTCCTGAGATTATAAATTGCTTCTGAAAATTTCTCCTAAAAACTTGCATCGCACAAAATCGTTGGCCCGCGAAACTAGGTATGTAACCCATTGAAATATTTATTTCAATTATCTTGTTTATACTGAACTTGATGGGTTTGCTTTCTACATAAACTGAGAGGCTTTTCAGCCATAAGCTTTCCTCAGATTAAAAAACCTTAAATAATCAAACCAAAGGTACCTTGTTCCCAATTTCCCAATACTTCTATCCCTCCAGTCAGTATCTGCAAATGAGTAAGCACTTCTTAGGTCGAACGGCTTCAGCTGTAAAGAGTGGGTACGGAACGATTTCCAAAATATTTTATCCATCCAAAAGTTGAATATTGTTGGATTTTGAATTTTATCGTAGGAATTTTCTTCCTCCTTCAGTTAAAAAATATCGTTACAAGGTCTTATTAGTTAATGTCAAGCCTCCATTAATCCTAAATATATTCTATTACATTTGCACATATTTCTACCATCTTACTTTTCGCAACCGGTAAATGCTGCATATCCCAGTCCAAATATGGATCATAGTTTCCCCTACAACTAGTGGGAAAACCATGCATCTTACGAAATATCCTCTTCTGATGGTAGTCTTTAATAAGATGTCCAAATTAGAAATAGTTACACACTAGCGTATAAGCCCGTCTCCCGCCGGGCGAGCGAGAATTATAAACTGCAAATGTCTGTCGGCAACCAACTAAAAGTAAATGTTCCGCAACGGAAGTGAAAGTAAAGAACGTCCAGTTTCTAATGGAGCTTAAATTAAATTCAGAAAATTCAATGTTTCATGGTAGTTTGAGCTGGTTGTCTAATCGTGGATATCTTGGCTATATATCTGGGTGGTTGCCTAATGGCAGTTATCTGACAGTGGTTGTCTAAAGGGTGTTGATTTAATCCGCGAACATTTTTCCATTGAAAAATTAAATGCTTGTTTTTCAAAAGTGAAGGTGGAACCAAATCCAATATTTTTTTAGAGATACCCCTGTATGTGGGCTTTACACCACGGACTTTAACAATGCCCTCAAATTTTTGCTGTTGGCCCTGTACTCATTTTTCTAAAGTAGATTTTAGAATTAAACGCCGCAGGTCTCGAACTTTGGTAACCATATCTTGGCTTGTTCAAGTTTTTGGATCTTGCACACTTTTTCCATAAGTCTGTATGACAGGTTATCCAGAAAATTCGCAGCGAGATTTTTATCATGCCAGAACAATTTTGTAGGCCCAGGTGAAACTTGATGTTCGATTATCCTCACCGCGGATTGTTCTATGTGTTCTGCGGCATAGCACAGTGGGAAAATATTTTTTATCTCAATTGGCAATAATTCCTTGTTTGCTAGCCTATCAGACTCGATAGGTCACATTTGCCCATATATCCTGTTGCGGCCATGTTTTCGCATTTCCATGCAATATTTAGGGGTGTCAACGCAATCCGCCCGAGGGCACTGACACCACAA